GCTCAGGAGTGGGGCGGAGGACGTGTATGAAGCCCTTTCCCGTGCGAGAGGCCACCTTGGAGCCATAGGGAAGACCAAGGAGATCCGAGTGTCGGTAGTTGCCGTACTTGCTGTTGAACTCTTTGCCTGGGGTGACGATAAAAGACTGGACCATGTCCCTCGTCTGGAAGGATAAATTTTACGCGTGCACGGAGCGGTGAATGGTAGGAAAGGTGGCGCAGAGGGTGCGCGGAGATGCTCACCAGCCATACTATGACGAGGTGGCCAGGTGCGATTCGAGCATCGGAGGACCACATCTGATTCAGCGCAGGCTGGCGGCGGCGGACTGGACACGGGACGAGCGACTGCAAGCAGAGCGTGGGAAAGACGGGTAGGGAAGGTTCAGATTTGATGGATCTTAATCAGCATGCGCGCACGCGGAGCCGAGATTGGGGTGAGATTCGGGAGGACGAGCGAATCTGGGAGCAAGCTGGGCCCCTGGGAAGCGCCTGGCTGCGGGTGCGGCAGACGAACGGAAACAAAAAGAGAGAGAGAGAGGAAGGCGGGGGGAGGGTGGCTGGGCGTGGAGAGGATGCTCAGGCGAGTGCCGCTGTGATGCTGGGGCTGGGGGGGGGAGGCGGAGTCTGAACGGGGGGTGCGCGCTCAGCTGGGACGAGGATGGGCGCCAGTGTTGTCGTCTGCTTATGTTTGTTGTAGAACGCTCTCCTGTGTTATTTAACTGTCGCAGTCGCGTCCGTTAGCCTCCTCGTTTGCTCCCGCAGACCCGCCCCGGACGAGACCCTCGCCACTCCCCCACTCCCATTTTCGGTACAATATCCGGCACCTTCCAGCCACCGCCGCATTCCCTTCCTTCTCCTTCTCCCTCTCCTTCTCCTTCTCCTTCTCTCCCCTTCCTCCTCCTCCTCCGTTATACCCTCCGTTCTCCTCTTCGCCCATGGACTCCTCGCCCTGCGTTTCGTTCAGTGCGTACCCCGACCTGTCCCCATTTGATATCTCCTTATCCTCTTCCGCGTCACCCAGTCGGCATCGTGGATTTCACAGAGAATGTGCGGCGTTCTTTTCAGTCTGCCTTCACCCTCCTCATCCGTCATAAATTTCAACCATCCAGGCCCGCTGGGTGTTTTTGACCGAGTCCGTCAGCGACTTGTTGGGTGAGACTCTGCCGCATTGTCTCTGCCCCCGCCCCCAATTCATGCGTCCTAGGCTACGAACCACACGAACTCGTCGGCACCCCGTCCCTCGACCTCGTCCATCCTGACGAATTTCCCCAGGTCAAACTGCTTCACTAGTGCGTCCCTCCTCGCATCTTCCGCTCTCCGTCACCGTGTCCCAACCGCCTTTCCCAGTGACACAATACGACAAGACAAAGCCGCCGTCCTCGCATATCTGCGCATGAAGCACAAAGACCCATACAAGGGCTACATACTCTGCGCAATAGTAGGCTCTTTGATTATTGCTTCGAGATGCTCTTTTCTGACGCCAAACGTCAAGTCTCGGACCGTCGCACATAACGTTCTCGTCGGTAGCGTGTCCTTTGCCGCTATGGGCCCGAAGGCCATGCACAACGCCTCGACGGCCCAGGAAATCACTATAATTACCCCTTCGGCTACAAACTTCGAATTCAGAGTAAGCGCCCTCGTTGGGCGAGACTCTTCACATCGTGTACTCAAGCCCTTGTTCTTTCCAGCGATGGAACGATCCGTCACCGATGCCCCCAAGTCCCATCCAGGTGCCTTTGCTAGACTCCCTCACCGACCCTGGCTCCCCGGAATCAACTACTGAATCGACCGCAGACAGCTCCACCAGCAAAGAAACTCTGAAGGACGTCGAAGACGATAAAGACGAGGATGCCAAAGACAAGGGTCAAGACAAGGGCAAGAGCAAGGAGAGAGAGGTTACGCCCCAGCCGCCGGTGCCCAAACCAGAACCTATCACCTTTGATCCTCTGCCCAAACAGTCTATCCGGACTGCCCTGATCCTGGATCGCTTCTCTCTGAGCTGTCCAATCATCTACTGTTCCAACGACAGCTTTCTCTCAACGACGAGAATCATGGGTCGCAGCTTCTTCGACTTTGTCATCAAGAGGGACGAGGAGCTCGTTCGCAGCTGGATCGACGCTGTAAAGGGATGGGGAGTCAACGAGCGAGGGCAGCCGAGTGATGGTGGGTTTGGCTTTGGAAAGTTCACGCTCTCCCTAGTGGGTAGAGACTCGAGGTAGGCGCGACACTCAGCCTCGCAGTCGATGACTCACCTCATTGATGACGGGCGACAGCGATCGACACCCCGACCCGCCACCATCGCGACACCGCCACGGACAACACGGCGGCCCTGGCGCCAGGGACTCTGCGGCGCGATCCCACGCTCACAGCGCCGCACCTGCGACAGCACGCTCGCGTGTGCGGACGCGTGGATCAAACCAAGACCAGGAAATGGCAGTTGACTCCATCTTCTCCGCTCACTCTGACGGGCTCATGGTCATCCTGCGGCATGCGGCATAGACTCGCAGTCGACATCGGCTCGGGTCGCAGTCCTGTTGCCCTGTCCCTGTATTCTTGTTTTGGTTCCGTCCGTCATCATGTGCACTCCGTACTCGCCTGTGCTTTTTGTTTGATGTGCGCCTTATTATTGGCCATTTGCTATCCGTACCACCGCTGAATACCCCGTTCGAGCCGTTTGTCCAGTTACACATATGTAGAACCACTTCCCTGTCTATCCCTATCGCTATGCGCTTGCCTTCCCTGTCTACGACTCGCCATCCTCCTCTCTGTACATGTAGGTTCCCCGTCGGTCCCCGTGTCGTATGCGAACTGTGTTTTTCCTCGCAATTGCAATCAATGTCATTTAACATGTTCCACCCCAATCAACTTTGCGCGCTAGTGCCCAGCATCCTCGGTGGAGTGTCATGTGCGTCCCTATCCAGCTCAGCGCCGGGCGCGCGCTCTGCCCCGCAGATCTGCTTCGGGCGTAGGGATCTCGTCTCCCGAACAGCGGCACGCTAGCTCGCGAATGTCGAACGCGCCCGTTGACAGGAGGCGGTGTCTCCTCTTCCGCGGTAAGCAGGTAGATCTTGCGAGATACACGCTGCGAGCTAAAACAAATCAGTGGCGGTGCAGTGCGCCTGGCTGCGTTGCTCATCCGCGCCGAGAAAGTCCACAACTCCGGACGGGCGCTGAATCGTCCGCAGGGCGTCCGCCGCTGGCTGGAAAGCTGGAACGATGCACGCGCGAGCTTCGTAGGAACGTAGGTCGGGTAAGAACGAGGCTCTGTTCCCAGGTGCGCAGGTGCCATTGTTATGTCGTGGTTCTGCAACTATCTGTCGCAAGCGCTCAGGCCACCGCTCGGCGCACATTCGCGTACATGGCCCTCGCAAGGTACGGCCGAACACGGCCGTCCGTCCGTCCGTCCGTCCGTCCGTCCAGAGGCGCCCTGCACGCGCATGCGACATGCAATGCGCTACGGCAAACGCTTTTCTTCCGACATTTCCTTGGCGCCCGCCGAGAGCGAACCGACGAGACGTCGTCCGGGCGCAGTTGGCGTCTTCCAGCGTCTTCCAGTCGCCATCCTCGTTCTTCGCTGGACACGGAGAGAGATACACTCCGCAGGAGATCTTCGGGGCGCTCGAGTCCGTGCGTGCCGTCGAGTAATCAAGTGCTCGAGTATCCCGGGGCGATCAGCGGGCCTGATGCTTCGACGCAGGCTCCCGTGCGCCCAGGGCCGAATGGGGTTTTGTAAAGAGCTGACCACGAGCGGGCGAGCAGGCGAGCTATTATTGCGTGCGTCCACCGGATCTTTCCACTCCAGCGAGCAAACTGAATCTATGAGCCTCGAAACGCCGGAGTCATCCGAGAGCGTGGAGCAGGGGCTTCGTGGGCTGAATTTCGTAGGTCAATTCCAATGGGAGAGGACTCACTCCGGGAGTCTGCCGTCCTTGAGCTTCTTCTGACCAAACACAGACGGGTCGGACGTACGCGAGTCCCGGAATGGGAAGGCTATTAAAACGATACTGCAGCCGTGCAGCTGTCCAGTCGAGCGAGGAGCGACGGAAGAAAGGTCTTGTTCTGATGGCGTAGTGACTATGCCTCTGCGGGACTGAGTATCTGACCCCTGGGTGACAACAGGCCAAACTCGGCGAAGGAGCTGTCTGGTCTCCCGAGCGATGTATCAGCGCTGACAGTGCGATGGTGCACAGGAGCACTGGCGACTCAAGCTTCAGAATGAGGATGGCGAGATGGCCTGTATGCGCCTAGTATATACCGTAGATAGCTACATTGTGGTGACACACATCAGAATCAGGATCCCCCATGCGATTATTGCTGACCTGTTTTAACTGCTCTGCGTCGAGCTCTGTCGTTGTGGGGTGGATCATTGAAACGCAGAGGCCCTGTTCGATCCTGTTCTGATAGAAGAAGGTTGGCAGTCCTCGGTCCGTCCGTTTCTGAAGTGGATCATAGGACCTGGAACACAGCGACCGCACTGTCGGCTATGGGTCTAAGCTCGAGACATACACGGAAATGGGAAGTGTCGGATAGCTTCAACCTCTGAAGCCATAATGCACGACGCATGATGCACGAAGAGTTGACGTTAAAGCTTTGAAGCCTTGAAGCTTGAAGCTTTGAAATTTGCAGGTCGTGCAGTAGAAAGAGGCGGAAGGGCCATTGTCGAGTTCCAGGGGTCTTGCTCCGATCGCGACTGCCCGTGAAAATCCGCCAGAGCAGCGCTTCGAACCTGGCCAACGCGCCTGCTTGTTTGTCTGTACATATTCGCCTCGAACATCTGGCCTCAGGATGTCTGCTCAAAATCAGGGCGATGCCCTGATCACTTCTAGCGACCCCCTGCATGCAAGAGCCCTTCTCTCGACGTCACTTCCGAACAACTGATCCTGATCGATCCTCCAGCCCGCGAACCTCATCCCCGAGCTCTGTAAAGGTTTCTACAACCTCGGATGGGTGACGGGAACCGGAGGCGGTATCAGCATCCGAGTCGGGTGAGTGGCTCTGCCCATGCCCTCGCTGCCATTCACGTTGACGGCGGGCGTTCGCACCAGCGACAAAGTGTACATCGCGCCCTCCGGAGTGCAGAAGGAGCGGATCCAGCCGACACACATCTTCGTCCTTCCATATCCGCAATCACTAACGCCAGACAACGATCGGCGGTTCCTCCGCAGGCCCACCGCGACACTCAAGGAGTCCGCCTGCACCCCGCTCTTCTGGAACGCCTTTGACCTGCGATCTGCGGGAAGCTGCATCCACACGCACTCCCAAAACGCCGTGCTCGCCACGCTTCTCTGGACAGGACCCGTGTTCAAGATTTCTCATCAGGTCAGTGGGCCTGCTCCGTGCTGCGCATCGCGGTCGGATACCCATAACCGTGATTTATTTTGGATGGCGTTTAATAGGAGGCGAGTGCTTGTCTTCGAGGTCAGAATCAACAATAAAGTGGGCTGCTGCAGATGATCAAGGGTGTTCGGATCGGCGGCACTGGACAAGCGCTGTCGTACCTCGACACGCTCGAAGTCCCCATCATCGAGAACACTCCAAACGAGGAGGATCTCAAGGACAGCATGGCCGAAGCCATGATCAAATACCCCGCTGCCGCGGGGGTCCTCGTCCGCTGTCACGGCGTGTATGTGTGGGGTACGCCCTCCGCGCGACAATCTCGTGCACCGTCCACGCTAACCGCTCTCGACTTTCAAACTCAGGCAACGACTGGGAAAAGGCCAAGACGCAGACCGAGGTCAATACAGTTCCTGCTTATCGACGCCCCGTGCGACGCTGATTTCTGGGAACCCGCTCTAGTGCCTCGATTACCTGTTCGAGATTGCGGTCAAGATGAAGCTGGCTGGTCTGCCCGTGCTGCAAGGAGAAAATGCCGTTACCGCGTAATGTGCACGTCGATACATGATATTAGAGGAAAATATAGGAATTGTATTCTCTCATAGTAGACACATCGGTGCCGCAACACGGCCTCAATAGCCCTTGAAGTAGACATCCCGGCGTAACGGTATGGGTGCTCGTGTGACGATATGGTCAGATCAGGAGCACGGACGGCTTGTTCGAGGCTGGTGTCTGGATCCTTGGACCCAGCGTCGTGTATCTGACGATTCGGAATACGAAAGTCGTCATATCGCCTGCTGATGTACTTGTGGGCTCGCGTGCGACTGATGGGCGGTTGGGTCAATTTAAACTCCTCAGCCAAGTACAGGCGTTTCGGCACATTTTGTCGGAGAAACCGCGGCATACTGATCGTCCGCTTTCTACAAGAGTCAACAAATGGAGTGCAAGATCGACGTCCCCGACCAGTCTGAAATGCAGACCGAACTAGGACTCTGCGCTTGTGCGGATATTGCGTCTCTTCTCCCTAACATTATATTCTCATTCGATTTACGAAGATGGCCGCTTGATATATCTTTTGGCCAGCAAGTCAGTCGCACAGGAAGTTAGACATAAAAGAAGGTTACGAAGCTGTTCACGGGGTGCAAATACACGGTATACAACACCACTCTACCTCCGAGCTCTCACACCGTCCAATTTCTGATTCCTTCCTGGGTTCTCTCCATCACTTGCAGTAGGGCAGGCCTGCCTCGGCCTTGGTATAATGCAAAAAGTGCAGAACTTCCCGCAAATTTCTTGCCTTTCCGTGCAATGTTAGTATCATGTAGATGAATGCGATAGTGAAGCCCTTACCGTTCTCCTCTCCGCATCGATTACAGACGATGGCGACGGTACGTCTGGGTTCGATAATGGCGGGAGGCTGATTCACATCGTCTCCAACATGCGCCCAGAGGGGCCGCAAACGGGAGGCCCAGTAGTTGAGAGTATGCCAGTCTTCGGCTGTGTCCTCGTCAACACCGGAATCCAGCCAAGCATTGAGCAAGATCAGTAGATCTGTGCCATTCACTCGGCAATAGTCCGCAATTTCGTATGGACCATCTTCAAGCGTCCAAACAGCGGGGGGCTGTGGGTTCAGGTCCATGCATATTCCAAGACTCACGGTGTTGAGTGGGGCAGGGAGGTTGAAGGTCACGAACCCAGTGCCTACGAACCGCGAGCATGCATGAGTCTCAATCTCACAGTCAGAGCTTCGGGATGAACCTGGTTTCGCCCATGTTTGATCCGTCTCAAACAGGTTTGTTTTACGATAGCCACCAATTCGTTCACCACCGGGGCCGTGTACGACAGCACTGTTGGCACCGATCGCGTCGATGATATGACCGTTAGAATCCCTTCTTTTCGTGATCTCACTCTGTTCTAAGCGTTCTGGGTAGCCAGCGACAACATAGCAGTGCAGCTTTTCTGCCATCTCAGCACAGAATCTCGAGGTGGGTCCGGTGTGGGGATGCTCCAAGAAAGGCGATATCGAGGCAGCGTCGCGAAAAACATATCCTGAGTATGAGTACACCGCAGCTCAGCGCCTGTGTCGGTTCCGCAAGATGAAATGTACAGACCACTGAAGATCATTTCCGGAAGAACCAGAAGATCGAGCGAACGAGGTTGAATACTGGAACGACGACGCATTCAGGTCCGTCACAGGGAAAGCTCAATCCAAGAGCTCACTTGGCACACATCGCATGAGCCCGTGCAATATTTTCCTCGACATGTCCTATCTGAAAACGTATGGGGCGCACGCATCGACATTCTCGACCAGTTGGAATCTGATCGAATGCGCTAAGTACTGACTCGTGGGGCGAACTGGATGACCGCAATTCTCAGAAGTGGATATGTCGACGCCATCGTTGCTAATGGCTTGATAGCATTCCGTACGAGGGAAGACAGACTGTGAATCCTCTCCCTGTTGGTCGGGAGGAAGAGCTGGACGGGGCGGTCTCTGGTTCCTCCGGTCACGGTGAAGTCGCAATAACGTCACTAACAGTCACACCTTGCTCGCGACTTTGGAACCACCTCTTGTAAAGCGATACGGCGGCGTGCAATGCTTCAACGAGATGTGCTCAACAGTCCCCGCTTCAGTGAGATAGGAATCTATTTTTAACGTATTAGTCTAATCATGCTTCTAATCGTACGTTCAATTCACAACGTTATATGATTGACAACGCAACTTTGTCTAGACCTCTGGTCTGGTGCCAATCCTTCGTCGGCGTACGCGCGCAGACCGTGACGAGATGCGTTTTCGAGACCTCCTATAAGTCAGCTTGTATCCAAAGTGGGACGAATAACATGTGCGTTCAAGGAGGCCGATGAATACGCTGTTTGGATAGTGACCGGCATGCAGACGTGAGTGATCTAAGATTCTATATCTGAGTTCATATCCCCATACTCTCATGTAGCTCCTGAGAGAACTGCCGCCGACCTTGCTGGCATGGACAAGTCCATTGAGCTGTCCAGGGCAAATATTCTGTGAAAGCCATGAATATCGATTGACTGTCATCGCTCATACTTTCGAGGCACGACCTGACGCGATCCTGTATTCTTTGGAGGCCTATATGGAAACTCCTATCCTTAGCGCTCAGCCGTAACCGCTGGGTGCCGCTGGAACTTTGTACCAAACATTTGATTATCAATGCCGAGACTACGTGCAGAATGAGTTGTTTCACGGTGAGTGAGCGTGTGTTTCTGGTGTACATATAGATTCTGACCGCAAGCCTTCCTGTGGGATGTTCAATCTTTTTCAACAGATGTCCATCTTTCTTTGTGGGTCTTCCTTCGCTAGGAACTTGCGAAGTTACGCGGAACTGAATCTATGAAGCTCCGTGAGACCATGTAATGCTCCGGATGAAGGTCATGCAATCATGTGTTTATTCTTATTGCGAATGCATCTCGGTGTATCATAAGGCAGCGTGGAGTTAGCGCTCGTCAGTCGTACTGTTTCCCCGATCATCATGTCTGAGACAACGACGCCTCCTTTTCCTGACGCCATTCCAGTCGCCCCTTTGCTGGTCATTAACCACGCGCTTATCAAGGCGGGTGATCGGGACGAGATCGATAAGCTCTGGAAAGCTGCTACCGAGCTGGGTTTCTGGTAGTGCGTATATATTTGATCGTCATGTTCATCAATCTTTCTACAATTCAACAGTACGAAGAATCATGGCATGGACAAAGAAGTTGAGGATATGTATGAGCTGAGCATGAAGACTCTCGAGTTGCCATTGGAAGAGAAGATCAAATCTGAGGGGTACGAGACACTGTCACACGCCTGGTATTGACTGTCCATCCATATCTCTCAGGCATAAGCGAAACGGCCGTTGGGTAACTGACGAAACTGGCTCCCCTGACAATATAGAATTCATGGATATCGCCAAGGATGATATCCTTGCTTGGCCCGAACGCATTCTTCGGTCATATCCACACACCGTCAATGACCTTACTATAGAGTCCACACTCAAGCCTTACTTGCTGAAATCCCTGGATCTTTGTTTCACTGCTTTCAACATCTTCGATGGCAAATTCGGCCTGCCTGGTGGTAGACTTGTACAGAACCATACGGGCGACAACATCAGTCGTTCGGAGATACGGTGCATCAGGTGTCTTCCTCGACCTGAAGTACCAGCACATAAGTTGAGTCTCGGTGTGCACACTGATTTCGGTTCTATGGTATGGTACTCCGCCTGGTACCTTGCATATGGGTGCGCTGACCCTCGCTTTCAGACTATTCTTCACCCTCGTCTCGGAGGGCTGCAAGTTTTACCTCCCGGGTCTAGCGAATGGTTATATGTAAAGGTAAGGTCAGTTGTTTATCGTCGACCTATATGCAGCTTACCTAGGAGACTTCATCTTTTCAATGCAGCCTGTACCTGGCTATGTAATCTGCAACCTCGGAGACGCGATGGCGATATGGAGTGGTGGAATCTTGCGGTCTAATCAGCATCGTGTCGTGTCAGTCTATGTTATCATTACTTCGTCGATTTCAGACCTCATTCCTTTGCCCTCCGTCTAGGAATCCTCCCAAGGAGCAGGCCAGTCTTGTCAGATGGTCACATGGGTACTTTACGCGGCCCAACGACAACTGCATTCTTGCTCCCTTGGTAACGAAAGCGCGAAGATCGCACAACATGCGGCTCAGAAAGCCAATTGGAAGGAGAATCCCAACTTGCGACCTCAGACCGCGGCTGACTGGTATGTCAGACGGAACAATCTTATGGCGTTGAACACCTTTAAGGTCGGCCAGTTTGCTTTTTTTGACAACGCATTATATCTGACATCAGGTCTGAAGGGCCCGGAGTCTTGGTGGGCCAGCAGGGGTACAGAACATACCGAGATTCCCGTGACTTGAGTGGGGCAAGGTTGGTCTGTATCAGCGGACCATTCCGCTTGATAATTTGTCAATGTCAGTCTGTCAACATATAGCCTCGACGCTGTCAGGTTTCTGATGTCTTGTCCTTGCATAGGGTTAGGATGGTGTAAGTACTATGATGAAACGAAGCGCAAACATGAATGTTATGTATGATCACGGTGTGCACTACACCACGGACTTCGCTGTTTGAATGGCGCTGCAATACAACAGCGTCACTGCCTTCGAAGGATCCACCCAAAACAGGGTCTGTCATCTGGAGAGTCACAATGCATAGTCATCACACGATCTCCCTCAAAAATCAATGGTGTTGGGGAATTAACGTGTCGACTTTCATCCGTGTAATGTTTGTTTCTCTATCTAGATTGAAAAATGCTCTGATATATTCCAAACTCTAGCAGTACTAGTTCGTCGTTGATAACACCAAAGCTACGCATCAGTCGGATGTCTTGTTGAAACTGTTCGATGGAACTTATCTACTTGAACAGTCGTTTCAGTCTCTGACAGCTGTGCGTGTTGAGGCATGAGAGTGATCCGGGTAAAGAACCAGATCAAAGTCACCCCACGGGCGTCTCGCAAATCGCTATAAAGCTAGTGAAAACCCGCATATAATGACGATTATTTATTTGTTCTACAGTAACCATTCACATACCACAGTGACCGCTCATATGTCTTTAGGTCAGTCAATGAAGCATCTACTTCATAGAACCGTCCTAAATCCTCTGTCTTCTAGTTCTGGCTCCACATATGTCTCGCCCTAGCCGTAAGGCTAGTCGGGCCATGCGCGCTTCTGTCCCTCACTCTGCTGTGCGGTGTGATAGTGCGAAACCGAGACAGTGCGAAACCGAGCCGATGCGTTGATGGGCCCTTCTTGCATAGATCAATAGACACAAACACTGGTGCCAAGTATTCGGATAATGAAGGTGGAGAAGAAAGGCATCTTGTTAGACAGCGTGCGTATACATCTTCGGGCTGTATACAGGAACTCAGGAAGCTCAAGACAAAGAAGAAGAAGGCGCGTGCAAAAAGGCCATGAGGGAGTTGGTCCAGAGCTCGATCGATCGATCACAGCTCATCTCCGTTCTAGTATGTGGTTTTTGTCTTCGCCCTCTTCGTGTAACACTATCTCGCAGCTGTACAACTCACTTTATACCCAATCCTAGACGACCTTCTTCTCTGCAATGGAAGCACAGCTTCTTGGCAGTGCGATTCCCGATTCGTCAAGCCTGCCAGCGTCATTTCCCAGGTATCTGTTGTATGCATGATCTGTGCGCTGATCGTGCACTCCTTTGCTGGTATGTATTCCGTTCAATTGAACACTCTTCACTTCACCTTCTCTTTATATCATCGCATGCCATCTTCCGCCATCAATCAATGACCGTCCTGTTTCAGCAATTATCTCATTCCTCGCAGCCTTCGCGCTTATCCGATATAAGCTCAAGGAAGCAAAGAAGGAGGAGCTCAAAGTTGAGGGTTTCGCCTACGCGTCGCCTATCTCTGCCGAAGCACAATCTATCGCTCAAGAGGGAACGGATGATGAGCCATCTTGCTCGGACCCTAAACTTTCGAACCACCCTAGCACCGTGGACCTAGCTGATCCTACCTTTCCACCTATTCTGTCCTATCACTACACCCCCATCAACTTCCCCATTTTCGCCACAGATCCACATTTAGAACAAGTTGGTCCATTCCGCACGCGTCAGCCTCCCACCGGCTTGTTGGAACGTGCACATACATTGTGCATATCAATGGCCACTGTGGGCTTCATTCTCATCATGATTGGGATCGTATTTTGGGCTTGGGCGCAGTTGTCCATAAGTGTCTCTGTGGCGGCGACTGCAGCAGTGGTAATGTGTACTGGGCCGGCCGTGGGGATCTTGTTCTTCGGAGCGTGAAGCAGAGGTACTGTCTTATCGATGTATCGACTCTAATTTGTTCGCTCAAACATAGTCGTTCTAATCCTCATTCTTCCACATGAAACAGACTACTCGACAGACCACTCTACCTAACAAGGCGTTGCCAGATATCCCAAATATACTACATGCTGAGTTTGATGTAGTGAAATCTCACTGCTCCTTTTGGAGTGGGTCGAGCTATCCTGATTCATCACTGTTATCTTGTACGCTTTTAGACTATGTACGCCGCGCCCGACATGAGACTTACCCCACATACATAGCCCATCATTGATCGATCATTGCGTCCCAGGTCCATCTTCACAGCTTTCGAAGATCAGCCGCTCAGTGTGCAGGTTCGTCTCGAACTTGACGTTGTTCGCACAGTTTATCTACTCTGTAGTGACGAGTGAGTCATTTGCTGCATGAGTGAAGGGTAGGTTGCTGACTCTAATCTCTTCTGCTCCAAGGAGTTAATGTAGATCCTGTTACTGGCTCGTCGTGATGTTCTGTCTGATATGTGAGCATGATGGGATCCCCAGGACACGTTCGTACGCCACAGGTACATCAATTGATGTCTATCACAGAACACCTGTGGTGCGCCTTACTGCCTGATTCAGAGTCTCAACTTTCTAGCTAGTATGAAAGACCTTGAATATAAAAGTCAGTCGTCTTGGGATTGTCGAACACTCACCCCTCTAGACTCCCAGCTTCGCAGAGTTAACCTTTCTCTGGATAGCCGCCGGATTACAATGCCATCCTTGTCGAATGCCCACGATTTTGGCTACGAGATGCTGATAGATGCCGTTACACTATGCGGTTCAGCATTTCTATTTGGTATGCTTACTCTACATTGTGTACGCTATGCAAAGCTGATGAAACGGGTCACCACCACTAGGCATTTACGTCGTTTTGATCTCTTTCTCCACAGTCATCCTCGTGTGAGCGATGAATCTGCTTTACCACGACGATCGCTGACTGCGGCTCATGCCAGTCGAAAGGGCTTAGACTTCAGGGCGAACAAAGTGCTGCTCGGAGTAACTTTTGTGATGTTTTTGACGTCGACTGGATATGGCGTGGCGCTCTTCGTCGGATATATTCAACAAGTCCTAGGCCTATCCTTTGTGCAACAAGGCGGTGCGCAGGGTGACGAGATATATGCGGCCATGGGGTCGAGCTTTAGCCTTGACATCGCGCTTTTTTACTTGTCATTTTTCAACGTCTGTCATCCTTTCTTGACCGACTCAACATTCGAAGCTTATATTTCCATTCTTTAGTATGTATCTGGTGATGCGATCATCGTTTGGAGAGCATGGGCCCTGTGGCCTGATAACAGGAAAGTCGTCATGCTTCCCATAGGGCTGCTCATGGGCTCCATTGGTGAGCATTTCCTTGCCTATCCCCGAGCGCAACGAGCCCCAACATATTCCGTCCACAGTGTCTTCATTAGTGTGTGGAGGGCTCGAAATTCGAGCGTTCCATACCCAATCCCTTCGGATAGAGAAGATTGGAGGCGACGCTCAGCTCGCGAGCTGGGCGCTGTCGCTCGCGACGAGCGTGGTGGCCACGGTGCTGATCGCATACAAAGCTTGGTTCGTCTCCAGTTTGCTTCGGGTCGTCTAGCAAACCAATTGCCGAACGCCTCACCCTCTAGGGTACACCGCAAGTTCATCCAGTCAAATATGAGCGGCGGCGGCATCAGGAGGTCAAAGGCCGGGAAAATCATGTCGCTTTTGGCCGAGTCAGGTGTCGTCTACTGCCTTGTGTGGGTAAGCCAGTATACCACAGTCGCCACCTAGAATCCAAGGGTTGAGCGCCTTGTATACTCGCAGATCGCTCTCATATTCACTTCGTATATCAATCTCCCCAACGACGACGGCTTGGCAGGGAACTTATTCTTGCCACTCAGCGTCCAAATCACAGTGCGTGCATATTTACACCTCACATACCCTGGACCATTGTTCGCTCGTGCGTGCACTGAGACTGACAAGCGGGGTCAGGGCATATACCCTACGATCATCATCGTCCTGGTCAGCCTCGAGAAGACAATCTTGGGCGCGCCCAGCCTGACTACCGCGGGCTTCGGCAGCAGAACAACGCGTCTGCAGTTCGCCACCGGACCCGTATCAGAGTCCTTGCCTCGCCCTCAGAGCCCGCACGGGGGCGACAGGGAGGATGCGCCGAAAAGCGAAGGGGTTTAAATATTTTTGAATCGTTCCAGTGCCTCCTGCGAATACCTTTTTGGGACATCGGTATATTATGGCGCTGGTCACCACGACCCTTGCGAGTGTACCAAAAGTCTGTTGTAATTTTCACCCTTCTTCAAATCGTGTCCACTCCCGCGCAAACCAGCTTATCAGTGACCCACATCTCTTTGCTGAACCAGAGGCACCAAGCGCACCAGAACGCATCGGGCATCGCCTCGCCGATGGCCACAGCGGACAGCCACCTCGTCCCAGGCAGGCGCAAAGGGGAACCCGAACACAGTACAGCATCGAACCCTATCCTCCGGGCCGTCCAGCGAGAGCTGCCCAACGCGCGCTTCCCCTTTTATTGCATGCAGGCACCGTCGTCCCATGTCATGCTCTCATGTTCGCGGTTCCTCGAACGCGAGAGAGGTCTAGATTCGGCGCGACCGTGCCGCAGCCACTCACCTGTCCTGTGCAAGCCTGTGCAGAGCAAGTTCAGTGTTCTGCAAATCAGTCGGGCGAAGGTTCGGCGCAGAAGGGTCTACGTAGCGTGCTGGCTGCTAGCCAGGGCATCACGTGGGAGCAAGCATCACAACATCGTGCGCGCGCGTAAGGCCACAGCCTGTACGAAGAACGACTATCTTCTGCGTAAGACTAAGGTCAGCACGGAAACTAGGGCCACAGTGCGGACCGCGATTGAGTGCAAACAAAGTTTCGCGCGAGCCAAAAGCGGGAAGGCCATCTCGGCGAGCAGCGCTGGCAGAGTGGGCGCGAACTCTGCGGTGGGCAAAGCAGGGACGCCTCGCCCGAGAGACTAATACATGGGCAGTGCGAGCCCGTGATTCCCAGTTGCACATGCAAAAGCATACTCAAAGCATCCGTCGCGTCTGCCGCATCTTCTCGCGCACGCTGCGAACTCGGGACGTGTGAGTAGTCTATAGGTGCGCGCGCGACGGCGCCCTGCAAAGCTCCGCACAGGGCGCGCGTGAGCGAAAATAAGCGCAAAGGTCCAACACCGCAACGTTCGCCAATTTCAATTTTGCGCGCAGATTCGTATCGCCTGCGATATGCCATATCAGGGCGGGAAGCGCAACCGAACGCGAGCGAGGGGCGCAAAGGGAGAGGCGATACCGCGGGCGAGAAGCGCAGAGCTTTACCCCGGAGGTTGGGGTGGAATCGCAACGATCGATGACAGGGGATCGATGAAGAAGGCTAATCGCCACTGAGAGCACTGATCGGCGTCATCGTCGAGCCCGACTGCGTGAGCTCTGCGTATCACAAGCTTGATAGAATTGTCGGGTGCCGTGCGATGCGGCCAGATGCAGCCTCGACCTCTGAAGGCGAGAAGCTTGGCCCGATAGATGCACAAGTTCCTCAGACGAAATGACCGAGGCAAACCGCATCCTTCAATGCACACTGTCTCCGTCATGACTCACAGCGCGGTCCACAATGGTTGATTTATACCGTACGTTACACGCTCACGTCTGAGGGTCTCGCCTTGGTGCAGGATCGCATTTGCCTGTGGCAACCGGATGCAAATGACATCTCCATCTTCTCTGTACGTGCGATCTCCTCACACGGGAGAATCGTCGGATGCCACCATCCGATAACAATGACGCTGACGATGTCATCGACATCGACTTCAAAAAGCCTCCGATCGACGTCCCGGAACCTGAAGGGGGGGGGCAGAGGATTAGCTCTAATTTGTAACCTGTTACAACCAGATTGGCTTTGGCCGCATGTGTCTCGACAGAGCCAGAATTGACTGACGGCAGCAGCAACGCGAGGGCGCAGTCCACGATAGGAGCGTAGGTGTTCGGGTCGAAGCTGACTGCGGCGACGATGTTGGTGGCAATGACAAGAGAAACAACGTGTTTGCATGGGGGAGCACATATTCTGCATTTAATGCTTAATATGACATCAAGTAAGAGTGGACAGTATGAATAGCCCGCCTGGCCTCGGGGGTGAAGTTTGAGCGGCGGCCCGCTCAAGAATCAGAAGGCTTCCTGGCAACAAGAGTGCGCCCGCAGCTGTGTGCCTTGAACTCTGTCCTGTCCGCGCACGCCGACGAGTAGGTAGGTCCGGCAAGAAGGTCAGTGAAGCAAGGAGATGAGACGGCAAGACGGGGCGGCAGGAAGAACGGCGCGAAAGGCAGCAAGGGGGAACTCTCAGGCCTTCGCAATTTGATCATCGATCGGGACGCCGGGTCAAGTGCGATATCGAAAGCACATTCGCTGCGGACGCCTGTCTATATATGCGCGCTCAGACGCGTCTGGGAGAAACCTGGCTGTCCGAGCGAGAACGAGAACGGCGTCGTGTCAAGTATACCATCGAGTGACCGAATAGGGTGGTATTACTAGCTGCTCGCAGCACGTGTAGGCGCAGTTGCCACAGAAATCGGAAGAAGGGTCGAGAAGGGGGGATCCGACCGCGCAGAAGACGTCGCGAAGCACGGATGGCGTCGGGAGAACCTGCCGCTGCAGAGAGATAAGAGGGCCCAGGACCAGTGTTTGTATCCCAAAGCGAGTGAAGAGCAGTGGGCGGATCGCATTCGCATGACATACGTCAGCTCTGGGTGGACCGACCATTCACGGTGCGCGGTGCGACATGGGACTGGGAAGCATCTCTGGCACCAGGTGTTGGAGCACATGGCGATCTCTTCTGTGCATAAGACTGCTCTCCAGGACAGGACACCGTCAAAAACAGAACGATTGACTCGGGTACAGGCTGGTCGAAGAGGGGTGGCGATCAGGCCAAGGCTCCGACCAACGTGTACGGGGCTATGTAGAGGCATATGAGGCCAGCCAGCGGCTACATTGATGCGGCAGAGCCGAGGCGCCTGGACGACTCAATGGAGGAAAAGGAGAAAGGATTATGTTCGGGGCCTCGGATCGGAAGCATCGCAGGAAAGGAGGGCCGCAGGCGATGACGCACGAACCGCGTCCGTGAGACCCTCGCCCCGGACGGCCCAGGAGCGTGCATCTGGTCTGCTGCCGTCGCGGTTCATTTCCCGCTGGGGGCGTGGTGCTTGCGTTGGACGCAGACATGGAAGAGAGAGCGAAGTGCAGGCGCTCGTGGCACGCGGGGGGGTCGCGGACATGGAGCAGAGAGGTGCGGGGCAGAGACTGAGGGCCGGAGAGGCCAGGAGGAAGAGTGGCCGGGGGCGGGGTGGCGGGGGGCGTGTGGCGGGGGGATTGATTCCGACTGAGAAGCTGGGGTCGCCCGCGAGAGGAGCAGCGACCAGCAAGACGAACAGAAAAGCGGCGAGGAAGAGTGGCGATGGGCAACTCCAACTCGACACAGGCCCCTCCCCTAGCCTCTGCAGACCGCAACCACGCACGCCGCACACAGCCCTCCAGCGCCGCCCTCGCATCCTCTGCGACGCCCCGCGCCCACACCCCGCATCGCTCCCTCCGCACAAAGAAGAAATCCCTCGAGCTGCCCGATCTGGCGTCGCTCTCGTACCCCCTCGCTCCGTCCTCCCTCAATGCGTCGCCGCACGCACACTACGGCCGCCACAAGCCCTCCTCCCCCATCCCCATCCCCATCTCCCCCCACACCGCCGTCCTCGACAACCACGTCCAGTCCTCCGTCTACGGCCGTCCCCATCCCACCCAGCTCCCCTCCACCTCCTACATTCCCGATGCTCTCCTCGCGCCCCCCTCCACCCACATCCCCATCGCCCCCAACCAGCGCCCTCACTCCCCCTACGCCCCCTACAACTCCTCCCGTTCCCCCTCTCGCGGTCGGCCTCCACCGCCCCCTCCCCCCTCGGAAATCCCAGATGACCCCCCTCCATTCGTGACAGAGACCATCCGCAGCACCATCCCACTCGGGATTACAAAGCCCCTGTCCTCCACTGGCGCCTCCCTCGTCCACAAGCCCACAGATCATTCCCGCGACCTCGTCCCAGTCAAGATCACTTGGCACGGCCCCGCCAAGACTGTTGTCCTCGCGCGCGCAGGCGATGCCAACTGGACCGGCCGTCAGCCCATGGAACGCGAGTGCGTATCCGCTAACCTTCCCCACATTCTCACAATCTGATGAACACCCCTTCCCGCCATCGCAGACCGAACGAGGAGGATACATGGTTTACATGGGTCGAGCTCCTCCCGGGCACGCACCACATCAAGTTCTTCGTTGACGATCAGTGGCGCGTCGCAGACGACATCGCCACCGCCGTCGACGATGACGGCAGTCTTGCTAACTACGTCAACATTCCCGCCGTCGCCGTCAGCCCACCCACGCCCCCTCTCGGGCCAGCTTCTGGTCCTCCCATGTCCAATCTCTCTGCCTCCATATCCAAACATACCGGCCCGCCCTCCACCCCTACCAACGGCAACGGCGCCGCCAACGCCACGTCCAACAACGCCGGCGGGTTCCAGATCTCGTTCTGGAGCGAGAGCAGCGTCGGCGGCGCTCGCGCGGGCCCTCCCAAGTGGACACAGGATCTCCCGGCCGAGCTGCTCGCTGCGGCGCGGGAGGAGGAAATATACCTCGCCGACGGAGCCGCGGGCGGCGCGCCCGCGCCGAATATCCCGCCCGCGCCCGTCCTCCCGCGGCATCTCGATAAACTGATCCTGAACACGCGTCCCGCTGCGCCGCGCTCGGACGCGAACGCACGGGCGGAGGAGCGCGCGAGGCGGACCGCCGGCGCGAGCACGCAGGCACCGGGGCACGGGCGCGTGCGGTCGCGCACGCGGCATTCGGCGCTGGGGATGACAGAGGTGCAGGGGCAGGGGCAGGGAGGGTCGGCGGACGGCGAGGGTGCGATCCCAGTCACGACGGCGAGCGGGACGGACGTGACGGCGACGGCGGCGGGGCGGGGAGAGACCGGCGCGCGGGCGGGGGTATCGCTGAGCGGCCCGGCGCTCGCGGACGACGCGAGCGTGCTGCCGGTGCCGTCGCATGTGGTGCTGCACCATCTGAGCACGAGCGCGATCCGGAACGGGGTGCTCGCCGTCGGGAACACGACGCGCTACAAGAAGAAGGTGCGTTGCCTCTTTCAGTCCTTCTTCTGCTTCCTTGCTTCCTACCCCCGTGCTCACGCTTGGCTCGCAGTTCATCACGACCATCTATTACAAGCCGACATGAGCGCCCCTCCTCTTCTTTTCCCCTCTCTCGTTTTGTGTATCCCATCCCCCCACTCATCCCTATTTACCCTCCCCCCCTCCTGCATCTACTCTCCCCTTTTCCCATGTTTTGCTCTCTTTTTTAGATTCCCATCTTCATCTCCATCTGCCTCTCTGTCTCTCTCTGTCTCTTGCTCCGGGTTCCTCTCCGGCCTCACTTGTCCTACACGATGCACATACATACATACATACATACATGTTGTACATATGTTTACCTACTCACGGATACAGACACCCTGCCTCGCGCATATACGCGCGCCCCGAAACAAGCGCCCGCGGCCCGCGCTGTTCGCACTCTTGTTCACGGTCGATCTCGGCGATAGCGCGAGCGCTGACGTCGATGCCGCAGGCCTATCCCCGCGTTTCGATTGGGGTACCCATCTGCACCATCCGCTAGCTTGAAAAGACCGTCTGCGGTACATACGTGGAAGTCTGTTTTGGGTCTGCACACCCTCTTTATGGTATTGGTCCATCGCGATCCGCTGGGGGGAGAGACCGGTCTGGCTTGGCTCGTCTGCATCCGTCCGCGTCAGGGTCCTAGTGAGCTGACTGTACTCATTCGTGTTGAGCCCGCACGAACGCGGCGCGGCAGAGAAATCGGACCAGGTGAGACTCTACTCCCCTTGATTGAACGGATGGATGCACGAATGAGCTTGCTTATGGCGCCAGTACATGACTACCCATGAGTCCGTCGTCGTCGTCGTCGTTTCCACTTTGTGTGATATAGACTTAATGACGTACATCATGAAGGTCTCAGGAATGAGCCCCAAATATCTGCTTTCGATCGCCTCGGCCGAGTCTTGGCCGAGGGCCCCTGGAATGTTCAATGAACAGGCTCGGACTGGACCCTGTCTGACTCACGAGCAGGCCGCCATTTGATCACGCGCGGGGCCCCAGGGAGCCCCTAAATCTAAGTTTCAGGGGCCGAATCATCCCCACAGCCGAAACGAGACATTCCCACGGCCCTCCTCCCGCGCTACATGATATAAATTCCATCGTTCCTGCTCGTCGAGCGACACAGGCCGCCATCGAGCCGCAGCAATGATCTTTCCTTGCTTGAAAGAGGGATTTGCACGGGTCCGTGCAGCTCCCCTGCGCCGCTGCGCTTGTCTCTGCTGCCTTGCCCTCGATGACGATGATAGTCCGTGACTATCTCTCAGCTCACGCTTGAGCTGAGCCGCCTTCCAGCTCACGCTTGAGCTGCGTCCCCGCTCGCACTCGAGCCGCTTTCGCCCGACGCTTCGGGATCAGTGCCACGCACGCCCCAATCCAAAACGCTCCTCGGGTCTGTTCGGCAGACTACGGATGACGGGGGCGCGCCGCCGCGCCCCCCGTCGTAGCGAGCATCGCACGCTTTCGAATGCGTTCGGGTTCTCGCTGAACCCTTGGCCTTGCTGCACCCTCGCTATCGTGAGGCTTGGTCGCCCTTGCGACGCTTCCCAGGGCTCGTGAGGCGAGCACCTCGCTAGGTGTATCGTCTCTTGATTTTATTGTCGTCTGGCCTTCGCGCCGCCCCTTGGATAGTCCGCGACTGTCTGCTCGCGCGTGAGTCGCTTTCGCCCGATGCTTCGGCGTTAGTGGTTCAACACAGCATTATGGACGCGCGCGACCCTCGGCATGTGCTGCATTTTTTGTAGTCGCCCCTCAAGGCATTTAGTGTACTGTACGGTTCTCATTCGGCAGACTTTCCTCTCTGTATATGACGCCTATTCTGAATTCGATGGCGCTTCTGGTTGCACTATCACTATGACATCTCTCTGTCTCCCGTTCCTAGTCTCGAAATTCGATTGAAATTGTGTAGATGCTTTTCAAATGACATATGGCCCGTCTGAAGTCTTGATCTTGTCAGCAGTACTTGCACGGATCTTTCATGTCGAGTCACCAGTATCTTGCCTTCTGTACTAGCACAAAGTTTTTCATATTTCGCCTTGAAGCGCCGTAAGAGGAAGAGTTGGACGAGGCTCGCTTCGTCAGGAATTCTTTACAACACACATGACGAACATTTCTCGAAGTGAACTGTCACGTTACAACTTGAACGCATTCTTCTCCAATGTTCTGTGTAGGATGATCCAGTATCATCGAATAGAAAATGCGCGCGACTCATCGCTCCCTTCTGTCTGTTCCAATATAACCCGTGAGCGACTACACCTCCTGCCTGAGGGCGCATGCACATAGATACCACTCAGATAATATCTCCTATCGCGAAGCAAGAACAGAAATACAGTTACAAGGGGGCACGATGATCATATAAATGAGCAATAATAGGTAGCATCGGGAAACGACCGTGTGTATCTTCTAGATCGGATCCCTCTTGGGTCTCAGAACCCGAGTGAAGTGACCGTCAGCGACATTCCCTCGGCCTGGAAGAACTGCTTGGCATCGAGCATCCTGCAGATCCCGCAAAGAGAGGTAAGAAGAAATTTATATAGACGTGGTCAGCATCTCCGGTGAGGAAAAGCAGAGGGCAGACCCACAAGTCGTGCACAAGCGCGAGCCCGCCGGGGAGCGCGGTCGTGAAGTTCGCTACGGTGCCGGAGACGATCGGGTCCAGCGTAGAGAACATGGAGTTTACGTTGGCCACCAGTGTCGGTGTGAGGTTTGAGAGGCTGCTCGCGGTCTGCCTGCACATCTCCAAGAATACCGACACAACAACCGGACAGGGCAGAACGCAGCGAAGCCAACAGGCGAGAAGAATGGCTAGTGAGCACGGGTCGAGAGCAGAAATGGATATAGAGATACGCACGAGAGAGTGCTTGCAAAAGTAATAGAGATGTCGTCGTTCGTCGGCGCCGTTGTGTTCGATCCGTCGCTTGGGGCGACGTTCCCGAGATCGCGGCCCGCGGTGTCCCAGACTGTGTTCAGCTGCGCGAACTGCGCGCCAATACTCGTCTCATTCGCTTGGTGCGCAGCCACGAGAGTCACTGTAATGCAGAAACCGCATTTACGTATGTCACCGAGGTCAACCATGAAGGGGCAGGAGCCCAGACGTACGTATGTTGGGCAATATGATATGCAGACTCTCGGAGAGCGAGTCGACGAAGTTATTGATGTCCATGTTCGTGTTGGCGGCGAGCGCGGTGGAAGCGAGAGCGAAGGCAGAAAAGATGGAGAGCTTCATGGTATTGTATGGCACGTATAAGGCGACTTAGTGGTGTCAGAGCGTCTCTACGACCGAAAATGCAAGCTTAAATGGCTCTCTCCATTGCCCCTTCAAACGCCTTGGAAGTGATAGGCAGTGGTATTTTGCCCACGCCTGGGCTTCGCAAAAATGATGATGCAGCTCTCTGCATGGTTGGAAGCACGCGTGGTAAGGATCCTCAAGTGTCGGTGCGGTAACCGTAGAGGGGTGTGTGAAGCGGACGTGCTTGGGGAGTCAAATTGCGAGGGAACGCTCCGGACAAGTTTACGCCTCTAGGCTCCCAAAATGCTTGCTCCCGTAACCGTGGATCTGGTGACCAAGTCGATCAAGGAGAATAGTCTGGTGATGAGAACGTGAGTGTATAGATGGGAAGGAGAGGTGGCGGCAGTGAAAGGGCGAGTGGGAGTCGTTGGTGGGCCCGGTAAAGTCTATTCACTTTTCATGGTACGAAGGATCCCAGAAAGGCATACACGCACCTTGCTTGTCGTCTTCTGACCCAAGAGACGCCCCACAGCAAGGGAGAGTTGATGTGGGAAATAACCGGACAAGGGTCTTGGCGTTCTCCTGAGATGAGGAAGAAATTCACTCAACAATGTTGCTATCTGACGGGTTTATGTCGATCATGGACTGTCATTATTAGCCTTTTAACACGCTGTGACTCGGGAGTTGCGTAAACAGTTGTGGAGAGAGGCGTAAAATTTGGACTAGAAATACTCACATCGAACTGGCATTCAGCTGCGACCATGCTCAGAAGCTGTCACAGATTGTCCACGTACAAGTGAACTATGATTTGCTACCATGCAACAAGGCTTTTCTATGCGCGGAGGATATCCGGCCCGTTGTGCGTGAGAGTGAAACAAGCATGTTATGGGAAAACGCAGCACGGTTATTAGGCCTGCAGACCAGACGTGATGAGTTCCTAGACCACAGTTTGGGTTCACAAAACGGCGCCCAGCCTGCTAACGAAACCCTAAAGCAACCAGCCAATCAGTGCGTCAAGGTAGGTCATAATTTTTTAGCACACTGATTTCTGCTACAGCAATGGTGGTCGTAAGCGATGGGGTATACAGCTGTTGAAATATAAGACACGAGATCAAGTCCATAAATTTTACTTCTTTGCCTTCAAGGCACCTATCAATGCAAGCTCTTCCATCAAAGTCTCGTGTCTGAACTGCAGCCGTCCGTTCGGCACATTAGTCTGATCATCAAGCGGGCGTCAGACTCAAATGCCCAAGACGTTCTTTTTACAGATTCACGTGCCTTGTTTATTTCGTTCCCTGCAGCACCCGGGAGGTACCATTGCTGTCCCAGCCAGTGACGCTTCATTTCCATTTCGAAGCCACTCTGGATAACCGAGTTGCGTGCCAGCTCACAGAGCGAGCTTTGCGGTAATTTCAGGATCTGTAGCGATGTCAACGAAGAGAAAGCGCCAGCGAGTTCTCAAGAATTACTCACATGAGCCGCCACACTATATTCTTCAAGGAGCGGTTCCTACCGATACGTGAGATCAGACTTGCAATGCCGAACCTATGAAGAGGTTTGCATACCTTTGTGAAGTGGAATTGCAACGGATCGTCCGTACTCAAGCTGACATTCAACCCAGTTTTGAAAAACTCCGGCAATGGGTTCCTCTCATAGGTCAAGAAGAGAGCGTTGTTGCTCAGAGGACTCATCGCGATACCAATCTGCTTTAAATAAAAAAGATACTGAAGAGCAGGGACCTTACGAAGCAAGATGCCGTGGGAGATGGAGTGCGAAGTAAGGAATGCAGATGTCAGGTGGTCGGTATCGCCCGCCTCGCCGGAGTGTGGACGGAAAACGAATGTGCCTAAACGTATATTGAATCAGAGCACTTTGTGGCAACATTTTAAACTCTTTCTTACTGAAACCACGAGCACGTCTCCAATGGTTGAGACTTGACATATTGGCATACATATAATAAACCCTAACAAAACAAATATTATTTCAAAGAAATAAAATGATCTTAATTTTCGACATACCAATAAGAATATGGTGGTGACTGATCGAAATTCCACAGCTTTGGGTATGGGAACTTTTTGTGATAACGCCTCTCCGTCTTCGATTCATCATCGACAGTGTCAAATCCAATGACTCGCTGTAAGAGTACATGAAGCTCGGGATGCGTTGAGGGATCTTTGGTGACCTCGAAAAGGGGCTTGAAAACATCTGTATGGGAACATGGTCAATTCTCACATTGAAAGGGTACCGAACGACTGAGAAATCTTACTCCGAACGATATCTTCAAACGTCTGGATGGAGCCGTTGTGCTTGTATACGTCATAGAGGCGAGGTATCTGCACAAGCCAGCGAACATTGTGGGAGTAAAGCTTATGATTGACGATCCATCGGGCCAGTTTATCCCATTCATCTTCATTTCTGCCATAGATACTGATGCGCCATTCGCAATTCTATTATAACGATTATAAAAAAAAATAGATAACGGGAGGATTTGACGAGCTGACCTGATATTTACTCTGCTCAAGGTCCGTCATGACCTCTGTAACAGAGATTTGGTCACATTGTTTGCTACAAGAATAGATTGCTCGCACCTTTTGTCAACTCAGCCAAATATCTGCCTTGGATGTAATTATCAGTCTTCAAGAAAATCTCTCGCAGGCGCGACTCTCCAATGGGATTATACTTGAGATTGAATTTGTCAAACCGATGGAAGGAATCCTGATGCGCGTGCATGTCTAGGGTGTCTATCGACAGGTCGTACGCGGTCAGCTTCAGCGATTCAAACACCTGGGCCAAAGTGAGCTCCGCGCCGTCACGGAAAATGACGACATCCTGGAGAGAATATATTGTCAAAGGGATGAATGGACAAAGTCGGTTGAGCTCACGTCTGGACTACGTTTCATTTTGGATTTGATGAATCGAAGCAAATGCTTTTGATTCATGCTGCTGGAGTGGTGCACGTGAGTATCCACCTTCCGAACATTGTAAAAGTCGCTGAAAGACCGAAATCAGTCCACACAATCACCACCACATCGTGTTACTGACCGATGAGGGACTTGCTAGAGTGAGATTTATCGATATCAATTTATTCTTCCACATGGCGCCGAAGCTAAAGAAGCTTACCTTCATCTCCGTCAACTCATGAAACTCGTTCAACAAGCTATGCATGGTGAACTTTCCCAACAGGTACTGGAGACGACGAAAAGCAAAGCTTTTTGCAGGTCCATCAGAGATTACACCCAGCACAAACTCAAGATCTACAAAATACTCTCGTATTCCAGGGATATTGAAGATGGGTTTTTTGTCCTCAACTGTCAAGATATGATCACTCGTAACTCATGGACATTCCGTGAAAAATACCTACCTTCGATGTTGTGGTATACTTGAAAGACCCCCTTACTGTCGAGTTCGAAGTTCCACTGATGAGAGCCCGGGATATCACAAGCAGCAAGGTTGAACTCTTCGTTATGATCATCCGCATTTGGGATTACGGTGCTTGACACGGCCTTCTGCTTAGCCGTCCAGTGCCAATGAGGAGGCGGAGGCTTCGGATAAATACGCCAAGGCTTGAGCTGTTCGGTTCCGGGCGCCTGATGAGATTGAAGAAGGTCAGCATCGGGACGAATGCCCGACACATCCGCCATGCTATCCTCAAGGCCCGTGAAAGTACCATCATAGTCCCGGGGATTGTCTCCAAGGCGCTGAAGCGAGATGGCCATGTATTTGTCCCGCAGCTCAAGGCATTTGCGGAACAGCTCAAACAGATGTTGAAACTCGGACCCCATCTCTGGCGGCATGGCGATCGCTGTGTGCGGAGTTTAAGAGAGTGAGCATACGTGGCGCGACGGGCTGCTCTAGCAAGATAAAAGGTGGTACGTACGGGCAGCGGGATGTTCGGGTGCGGCCTCAGCTATTGCTTCTTCCAAGTCCTCTTCCTCGAGGTACGGTGAGCGGTGTGCAACATTGCGTTCAGCTTCCAATGTGGGAGGCAGCAGAGACATCGTGACATTGTTCGCGACGGAGGAGGCCACCTCTGAGTGAGAATCGGGCCCAATAATCGGCGAGCTGGGATAGAGATTGACGGGCCGCCCGGCCTCACTGTGGGACTGCGACGGCCTTCGGTGGGCCAGAACCTTTTCTTCGATCTACGAGAACGAGACGAAATCACCTTCTGTCCATAGAACAGAATCCGAATAATCTTAAACATACATGGCGCAGTGTCTTTTCATCACTATATCCAAAAAATGCATCACGCGATTCTGGAATGTGGACGCCTGGAGAATGGACGCCAGACGTGTCGTTCAAGAAGGAAGGCGTCGGCGAAAGACTCGAGTCATTCGGCCCGTGGTTTTCCTGTTCTTCTATCGAGGGGGAACTTGACCTAATAGAAGACGGCATTTTTTCACGATCAATCTGGTCTATTGGAATGCGACTGAAGGTAATGATGCAAGTTATGTAGGATGGCGGTCGGATCTGGTAGGACGAAGAGCAGTCTTCCGAAAAAGGCGGATCCGGACAGAAGATTTGGTCGCTTTGCACGTGCCTTCTTTTCGCCAATGGCGACACGTTAACTTGGCCTGCCATACTTACAATCTTCATTCTACAGCGTACCGCTGACTCAAGTACTCAGCGCTCAGCGCTCAGAGGTGATGAAAGAGCAAAATAAATGCAATGTGTCCAAGGTTGATCCAGCAGAAGCGTACCAAGATTTAAGGAGTGGGTTACGAGGACAAATTTATGAGTTGGACTTCATGTACAGAACGGCGTGCCAATAAATATCCCTTCGTATGCCCCCAAATGGTCAAGAATATTACCTTCAAATATGTTTGATACAGTCTTAATTTGACATTGGCTGTCAACCGCATCATCGTCTCCTGCAGGTTCAAGTGTTACCCAAAAATGCAAATATCACCGCGATTAATGCTTACCTGGACATGATACGGCATTCCCGGGCTCCACTATATGGACTTCGCCGTGCGGATGAGCAAATCCCAGGAAACGACCGGGGATGATGGGGACAAGGTCGCTCTTGTTATTTACACGTGTGAAGTCGGATACCTGCTGGTCGAACAAAGTCACAAACTTGGAATTTCCAACGCGAGGCGTTCCATAGGTGACGCCTTTGATCGTTGTTCCCATGGGAAGATTAAGTTTCATGAAGAGGCTATCGAGTTCAGCTAGCGCGCCGCCCAAGGAATGCCCAATCTATATTTCAATGTCATAGAAAGAGATGGTTCGATTAAACGATTAATAAAGCTTACGAGTGTTACGTTGGTTGTGCGATGCGTCGCCATGAGTCGCTTCACTTCGGTGAGAATCTGGCTAGCAGTTTTCTCGTGCGCATCAGCAAAACCCGAGTGAACTTCTACACCATCGGGAACACCTGGAAACAGTGTAGGATCCAATACACGCTTGGCAATATTGAGATCCGTCAAGTCGGACTTTCTGTGAACAATCCGGAGACTACTGAGTAGCCAAGAAAGTACAGAACAGATAAAGAACATACATTTTCGTTGGATCAGTCCCTTGATGGGCTACCACCACCGTGTTCTGGTCGGGCCAGAATCCAACGAAGACTAGGGCACAGTAGAAGCAGAGTCGATCAGATAGACCAGGGCTACACCTGTTTTACACGTACAGAACTGGATAGAATTAGCATCGCCGCCTGTCAAGGTTGGCTCAAAGCCTGGTAAGGCATCGCAAGCCTCTGCATCAACAATTTGACTAGGTAAAAAGCAATGTCAAGTAGCATGGAAGATACTTCTCACCACCGCACTGCCATCCTTCGATCTTGGAAGGATCGCAATACGCCGCCCTAGCAAATTGCGTGAATGGAGCAAAACTTGAAAGTTGGGTCGGAGATAATGCAGTGGGGGAAGCTCGGGTACGAAAGTTTCGAGGCGTAGGGAGGGCAGACACTCCTGCCTTGATCAACAGGACAGAGAGTACAAAAAGAACGGCAGCCATATGCATTGCAGTGAGGGTATCAAGATGGTGGGTTAGCAGGGAACGAGTGAAAGCCGCACCAAGTGTTCATAAGCTGCTCAAACGAGTATTTATTGACAATGTCTAGAGATACTGTGGGATACTGGATAGTTGCATCAGAACTCATATATGTGTTGTTGGGGTCATATATTCAACCAACGAGTGACTTGGAGTGACTACGTGTCGTTGCCACGTTACATGCGAACGACTGTCGGCACAACTGCGGTGGTATCGCCGTAAGTACTCTTGGTTTCCGAAAAGTATTGAACCCAGTTGAAACATCTTCAGACACGGCTTGGAGGAATTCATGTAACATGAGCATAAACTATTCAAGCTCACCTTCTTGGCACACAGTACGGCAGTTTTTCTTCTGACCCTGAAAGAGGGGTGATGATTAAGTGATGATGGTGGAGGCGCCCATCATATAATGCCCTGGCTGAATGACTTGCGTTAGCACTGTCGTTCATGAAAGACTCATTCATTTTGTGACGCGATATGGCGCGAATTTGTTGAAAGATAGAACCGGGACTCACAAGGTTCTGTGTCGCTTCTTCAATCTCGCGTTTGAGTGCATGCCAGGAGCCTTTGATGACATATGTAACCACTACGCATAACCGAGTAACCGCCGTATAAGACTCGTATAAGTTAGAATCCAAGATGGAAAATATGATTTGAAATCACTCCAGGCATCCAAGGCACCGGGACATGTCGATTCACCTTCGGAAGTTTGCGATGATTACCAGTTGATTACCCCATGATGACGACTCTCTGAGTGGCAACTCACTGGCAACTCACCTTGCATGTAACAACCACCTGGCTACCAAATTCTCAAGCCCGATTTGCCTTGAATCTCTTGTACAAATCCGAAGCTTTTGGAATAATGGACGCCGCAGACTTCGATTGGCTCCAAATGCTATTTGGTCGTGGTTGGGAGGAACCGTTACCAATAGATAGTCATCCTCGACTTGAAGGAAAGGATATCCCATCGCTCGCGAAGTACATGAAATCGGACAAGTGTAAGAATGTGTTTGTTATGGTAATTACAGCCTCAAACCAACCGAATATCCTTTCGTTCAGCTGACCATCCGTGTTTCTAAGCTTGGCGCAGGTAAATCATCTGCACCCTTCGATTTGATTTGATATCTTCAATCTGTTGATGTCACAACCTTAAGGTGTCAGTACATCTGCAGGCATACCCGATTTTCGATCACCAAAGACGGGTATGTGTAATTAACATTCATTAGAAAAAACCTAAGTGTTGTGCTCTTTGCAACTTACAAGGTCTATATGTGTGTTCACTTGACATCAAGACGGACAGCGACATAAACTAACTGATTGGAAGACGAATCTTGCTAGACTTAATTTACCGCGCCCAGAAGCGGTGTTCGAGATGAGCTTTTTCCGCGTAAAGCCCCAGCCATGTAAGCCAGTCCTAATATCCTTGCTTCCAGTGGAGCCCATACCTGAGCTCGGCGGGCGATAGTCTACACACTCGCTAAAGAGCTCTACCCTGGGCGCTACCGACCAACGCTATCCCATACTTTCATCAAACTTCTTTCACAGAAGAACTTGCTTCGCATGTGCTTCACTCAGAACATAGATACCCTCGAGCGTCGCGCAGGGATCCCTGACGAGAAGATTATCGAAGCCCACGGCAGTTTCGCCACACAAAGGTGCATTGAATGTCGGAGACCGTTTGACGATGTCAAAATGAAGAAATTCATCCGGAAAGCGGCAGTACCGCGGTGCGAATACTGTGAGGGCCTTGTCAAGCCAGATATCGTCTTCTTTGAAGAATCTGTATGTCATTTCTTGGTTCTCGGCTCTCCCGCGTTCTCATGCTCCGACACTCTGGCTTCGATCAGCTTCCACTGGCCTTTACGCAGGCCATTCCCTCACTCCAAGAAGCTGATTTGCTGATCGTGATGGGTACATCGCTAACTGTTCACCCCTTCGCATCTCTAGCCAACCGAGTGCCGCCTGATTGTCCGCGGGTCTTGATTAATCTGGATAAAGTCGGAAACTTTGGAAGCCAGATCGACGATGTAGTGCTTCTTGGTGAATGTGACCGCATTGCGAAGCAGCTGTGCGTGGAGCTTGGGTGGGAGAAAGAGCTCATAGATGAATGGGAAGCCACTGCAGGGTCTGTGGAGCAGCATGATGCGGATGATGTTATGGATCAAATGGTTGGCGAAGAGCATGGTGCGGAAGACAATCTGACAGGTCCCAGCGAGAAAGTGGAAGATATTGTGGATCAGCTAGCCGGCGTTCTTGCCAAGTCTATGAACTTGATTGCGGACGAAAAGGAAAAGGAGGTAACTGAGGATGCGGAACAGGTAGACTCAGCTGTCCTACCGCCACCAAAGCGCGAGCAGGCTAGGGAGTCTGGAGTGGAGACTGAAGAGCCGCACGAGAAAAATGGCACAGGCCCCTTGATAGACAACAAGGTGAATCTCGTTTGAATCAGATACGAAATACGCGTCTACAAGCTCACTTAACCTTGCAGCCGTGATGCTTTGCTTGATTCTCGAGCCTCATATGCCTTTCTACGGCCACACGCTACAACAATACATTGGGTTGGTATACAGGATGGTGAAAATCGGAGAGAGACGATGTCAATATCTGTATGTGCTGAAATTTAGCGATTTAACTTCCAGAGCCCTTCTTTCGTGGTGACAACGAGCCCCTCTCGCTGCGCCGCATCCATGAATGCAGCCAGCTGATCAATCCTCCGATCGTAGCCAGGCGCGAACTTGAGCATGTTTTGTATTCTGTCGAGTGGGAGAGACCCCAGATTTGTGAGCATGCCCTCGATGAACTAAAACAAAGCGAAGTCAGAATACGGCTTTCAACGACGAGCTCGAGAGGTTGAAGAGTGGGGGAAACGAACCCTCCAAAAGACTTTCATCTGTTCTGCCTGTTGTTGCTGCACCGACAACACCGGCAGCAGCTCCTCGTTCTGTGCCCGCGTTCCAGATGGTCGTATGTGAGGTTCTGGCTGCGATGCGTCGACCTCTTCCAAAAGCTTGAATGTGTCGTCCTTGTCTTCTTTCAGCACGCCACGGTCCACCCAAGCCAGGAGAGCCTTGAGCGCTGACGTCCGGTCGACAGGGCCAACGCGTAATATTAATTCGTCAACCGTCCATACATCTGCGAGTAGAGCAGTGCGTGAGTGATCGGTCTATGTAACAGGGAAAGAACCAAGCAGCGCCCGTCAATATACCCTTTTCCGAGAACATCTCGATGAAGGCCGCTTCCAGAGGCGGCACGTCCGCGGTCACGGTTCTATCTTGCAACTCGATATCCAGATGGACCGAGCCGAGATGCGGGAGCCAGCGCAGCTTCTTATCCGGCTTGAAGGTTATGTACTCGCTTGCATATGAGCTTTGAATCCTTGGTGCGCAAAAAGGGTCAGCGTATTATTTATTACGAAGCATGGAGGGATAAGTGTTTTTGGGCCTTACTCTCGGAACTGCCCTGGCATGTCGAATGTGCTCGACTGTAATGGTGGCCAGAAGTGGCGGGATATTATGGTCGGATGCATGATGGACTGGCAGAAAGGAATTTAGAAATTCAGTGAAATGATTATCCCCAAGGCGTGGATAAAGATTGACATACGCTCTTTTGAGACTGGACGTGCTGGTCTATTCGACGCGAATCGGTCATGTCTTTCAACATGACCTCACATACCTGCAGCGGGCCCTCTCCGAAGCGAATTTTCAAGATCTCGATGTTACGACGCTGACGGTCCAAGTACTTTAGATGTGAAAAATAGGAGAGTTGAAAATAAGTGGCCACCTCTTTCTCAAAGTTACCGTCTGTGATAGCCAGTAGACGCTGAGCTAGGAGTACCTGCAGCTCTTTCACAAAGAGGTCCTTGGAGTCATAAATGCTGACAAGAGTGCTAATCACGTCGCTCGGTTTGTTCGTTCGGAAATCTGATAGATGAGTCAGATTTCGTGTGAACACAGCTAGAGTTTATTCAAACACAGTAGTCCACTCACCAGGCCCTGCATCCATGGGTTCAGGCTCCCAGCTGGGATCCAAATAATCATCAACCTGGACGCCCTGCAATGGTTGAATCGGATCGTTGTCGTCGACCAACGAATCGCCGCTTTCTCCGTCGCCTACAAGACTTGCGACAATACATCGGATGGTGTCAGGTTTCTCTCTGAGATCAGCATCAGTAACCTCAATACCTGCAGTATTCAGAAAAAACTGGTACCTCAGGTACCGTCGGATAGGATCAGCTACTTTGAAGAGAAGTACCCCTGGAGGGTCGACGATGCGCAAACATCGGATGATTGAGACGTATTGTGTGAGAATGTCCTTTGTGTCTGCCCCTGGATGCAAAAGCCGTTTTTTATTTCTGTAGAAGGATGGGGATGATTGAGAAGAAGAAAATCACCATGCCGTTCATGACTTACGCCTTACGAAGGGATTGGACCAATTCGGTTCGCTGGTCAACTCGCGCGAGGCATTCCTATGTTCGCCAAAAGAAAAAAAAAGTCGTATCGACGGCTTTGGGAGAACAGATACTCAGGGAAATGCAGACCTTCAAATCATGGAGGGCCGGCGTTGATTCTGGATAATCGATTATTATATCAAATATTTCCTTGGTCCTTTATGGTCAGCAACGCATGAGTCGACAGCAGATTGCATTCTGTGCTCACTCACTTACCGAAGGTCACAGAGGGTCTTGCAGACGTGGAAGTCGAAACGAGAACCAACTCCTTGAAGCATTGTTCGCGCCTCCTCCGCTAGACAAGTACGTCAAGTTTAGCTCTTAGTTGGTAGAGTAAAGGACAAGAACCGCACCATTTCTTGCACCTCTTGCGTATGGAAGTAGCATCCAGGGCACAACCTTGTCCGCCATCCAATCTCTAAGAATGGTCAACATGGGCTCGTCCCATCGACCTTGACATGTGCTCCGAACATGATTCTCGATATGTTCATAACAAACACTGGCGATCAGAGACTCGTAGCGATCGACGAGCCCCAGCATCTCGAACGCCGCCCAAAGCTTCGGATCCTGATAATAAGGCGCCATTGACGACAAAGGGTCGGTCGTAGCTTCAAGAGTGGCAGCTATGAGCTTCTTGAACCCCCCAGCAAAGGTTGGAGGCAAAGCGGAGAAGATGTGGGTCTGGAAGTGGACAACGTAGGTAGAAGTGATGGTGTGACCTAGTCTGGTGGACTAAGGAGGCTGGTTGAGGCACGAATGAGAGAGAATACACTCACTCTCCACCTGGCGCCCATGCCTTGTGCCATTCTGCGAGTCGGAACACAAGCTGAGCGATGACCCTGGGATCCCCAGTCGTCTGCCACGAGTCACATCCAACATTCACACACTGAAGCCGAGCACGAAAGGTATGTGGCTCATACCTCATATTGTTCCATGAACTTCGCAACATCTTCAGTGATAAGATACTTTCGCCTCCGCACATCCTCTGCAAAGAAATTCAGCACGCTAGCCGAACCTGATCAGACTGGCGCATACCGATAAAATTCTCGAGCAACACAGGTAGCATGCGACATTGCATCAACACATCGAAGGCACCTCTGACCTCCAGAGAGCCTGCGTAATCAGAGAAAGAGGAGTGCTTATGAATGTGCGCTCGTTTCTGGTTCCTATAGGTGGACGTAGAAGTGCTTCAAATGCTTACTGAAATCCTTAGGCGGATCACCTAGTTTCCTCGGGTATAAGAAGTCCGTCGAAGTCTTCCACGCCTGGGAGACAGCTCAGACTATTATTTCTACAAGTCCCGCGTGATACAAGCTGCTCATACCTCACTGAACGACATCAGACCTGCAATACCAGGCGCTTCACGGTTCAGGCGGGCAAATGCATCTTGCCATTTGGCGCTCACTTGAGCACGCACGGACTCGGAACCCATCGAAGCAGATATAAACAGATTACTTGAGCAGTGGAGGGTTTGTAGGGTTCTAGAGGAAGTTGTGATCCTCCCAAATCGAAGAACGTTTGGTGGGCAACTTCCCGAGAATGAGTTGAGCGCGACGCGGCGTGACTGAAAGCTTGTGTCACATGACCAGGGCGCGAGCGTGTTGGCACGCGTTGGGCTTGTTCGTAGCACAAGATTGTAGTCCTTGTATTGAAGGATCGCTTCAGAGGAAAACTCCATGCGTCCAGTCAGACACGAGTACCTCAAAACGAAGTTATGATATTGATATCGACTGATTACCGAGACCGTATTCTATGCACCATGGTCACAGACCTATAATAATCTCGCAGCTAGTCGCAAGCGTGAGTACACTATGCGTCTCGATAGCCTCAAGACAGCCTCACCCTCCGCTTGACACCACGCGCTCTGCTCCCTTACCCACTAGCTACACCAGCGCTGCGCCCGCAAAGCAAGCCCCGACATACACGATCACCTGCTCGAACCAGCCGCCCAGGACCTCGAACCCTGTCTTGAGGCGCAGATGGCCGACATCCACGCCGTCGATGGCCGCGGATAGGGCATTCATAATAGGGGCCGAGAGAACGCTGCCAATCCGGCGCGAGAGCATCAGGAAGCCGAAGAGCGCCATGGACAGCGTCGGGTCGCCCCTTGAGGGCGATACAACAACATCGGCATCGGCATCGACTCACACCGCATCTGTGTATGTATGAAGGAGTTACTTGGGATCAGCCGCACAAAGCCGGTCCATAAACTGATCCACCCGCCCGCCAGAATGCCATACGTGGCTCCGGACACCATCCAGCCGGCGACGATGTGTCCCGCGACTCCCTAGAGAACGAAAGTAGAGAGAGATGTCGCCGCGAGGGCCATCAGCCCTAGAGGCCAAGGCGAGACGTGGTCCGAGAGGGTGCCCATCAGGAGTCGGTCGACTACCGAAGCACCTGAAAACAGATGTGAACAGACCAATGAGATACGCCATTGAGCGACTTGCCAGAAATTCGCATACCATTCAGGAACGCGAGCGCGAGCGAAGAGCTCGAGGAGGACGCGTTAAGCGCCGATGCGCACGCTGCAACATGGTTCAACGGTGCCCTTCATGATTATAGTTTGTATGCGAAGCGCGAACGTACTCTACAGCCATACGTACTCGGCAGCCACACGATGGGCACAAAATATGCAAAACCCTGGACCGTATTCGCGACGACCAAATTCCACCAAATTCAGCTTCTCGCCCACTCCCTGCCCTCCGCATTTCTCCTCGCCGGGCCATGCACGCGTCTTTCTGTCAGCCGGGGCTTGAAGAACGGAGCGCCGGCAGAAGACTCGCAGGGATGGCTATGGACAGGCATCGCAGGGGGTGCGCGAGCCCGTAATGGCGGAATAGAGTAGGGAGAATCAGGGCGAGGAAGAGCCCCCATGAAAGGCTGCTAGATGATCCCGTGCCGCATGCGCTTAAATACAGGTGGAGGACGAACCTACATCGACGTGCGGCGATGATATGGGTAGCGGGAGGCAAACGGGTATATCACAGGCCCTGCATGCGCAGGTAAGAGCTCGCCGTCCATCATGCATCACGAGCAGGATCGGGAATACGCGCTGAGCAATAGATAATGCCAGAGGAGAGGGGGCCAATGAGAGGCAACAACACACCCGCGTGAGGCTGGGGCGCGGATTTGGGGTGGAGCGTTTGCGTTGATGCGCACGCCAGGCATATTATTGGACGGTAACCAGAGGGTTGGTTTATACAGGCCTGATACGTTTTCCAAGGCCTATAGTTGCAAGTTGGTCGAGTCATCTGTGACCGCTGTAAACTTCTGACAACCCGAGAAAAGGTGCATGACGCCTATATCGCCACGTAATCGGACATAAATACATGCTTGATACTCATCAGAGACATAAACAGAGAGGACAAGATAGATCACATCTCCGTTCACGTGCAGAGCACAGCGCAGGCAAGGCGCGCCGGACTAAGCGAAGCTGTGGACGTGAGACTCGACGAGAGGGGTCTAACGAAGCTGTGATTGATACACACGGAGCCTGAAGACCTGAGCCCGAAATTCTGGATCGCGATCTTTTCGAGGACTCTGCGCAGAGGCAAACCCAATGGGATTGAGACGCAGAGAGGAGTTTGCTTGGCGGGGTCTTCAAGACACCTGCGAAACCCCGGGAGTCGCATGCAGCGCTCTACATGTTACTTGACAGGACAGGCCGTGACAGAATGATCGTGCGCGATGCTTCCGGCCCTGGCTTTTCTAGACGATGATGACATCGTTCGCGGAGCAATCAAGCCACTTTGCTCAGCCGCAGGAGGCGTCATGAGCCCCTGTCAATGGTGGAGGGCTCTGGGGTGACCCCCCTGGAATGCAGATCGTTAAACCGGGACTCGTACAGGGGCTTCCAATCCGTTCTCGTGCACGCCCATGGACGCAGAAGACTACTGGGGTGAGAAACGCTGGGTGAACTATTAGATGGAATGACATCGTCAAATGATGGTCGCAAGTCGGGTGCAGTGCTATTGATGCGTACGTCCGACAGTAGTTAGACGGCAGACGACGGGTTGGGACGGTCGGAGACCGGGTCGTATCAATGAACCACTCGCAGAAAAGGAGCGCTGGAATCCCATTGTCGCCATGGGCCAAGAATAGCCGGCAATGCTGAAAGGCGCGATAATGAGCGCAGCAAGTACATCAGGGACGGGGGAAAAGATAGAGAGTGCGCTTATTGGTGCGCTTCGTGCAGACGAACAAAGGGTCGAGACTCGCTTACCTAAGGACCAAGCTCGGTATTACTGGCAGCGTGGCGGATGAGACGCTCGCCCGCGACCGTGCTCGCCGACGCAGCAACCGCTCGTTCTCCCAAGCCCATCCTTCCCTCCCTCCCACTCCCTCACTCACACCGTTCCCGTTCCTCTCCTCCTCGCGTCCCCGCTTCTGCCTCGCCACATCGCGTCGATCTCCCTTTGTGCCCCTTGCACCCCATGGCTACCCCCATCCGCAAGAAACGCAACTTCAAAGCCCTCCAGCTCGATGTCGCGCAACCCCCTCCGGAGCCCCAGCCCCAGCCCCAGCCCGTCCCCACGCGCCTGGCACCCGCAGCGGGGGGCAAGAAGCGCCCTCCTCCCATGGCCCTCAAATCTTCCACCAAGAACGACTCCTCCACCGCCCACGGCGCCGACGACAATGGCCTACTCTCCGTCACGAACGGCCCCACATCGGCCCCCGCATCGGCCCAACGCACGACTTATCACACCACCCTCTCCAACACGCTCGCCAACCTCGACATGAACGCGGAAACAAAGTACGATCTGCGCGATGAGGACCTGAAGGATCTGAAGGAGCTCGGCCAGGGCAACGGCGGCAGCGTGAAGAAGGTTGAGCACGTCCCCACACATACCATCATGGCGAAGAAGGTGCGATCATCCCCCCATATCGTCCCGTCCCGTCCTGTCTTGTCTCTTGTCGGTGCTGACTAAATCGCATTATGTGCGCCTAAACTAACTCATCCGTCCTGTCGACTGCGCTCTCTTCCGCCCAAATGGCCCACGCGATCGGGTGGCGCAGATTGTGCTCATCGACGCTAAGCCGTCTGTGCGGAAGCAAATCCTGCGCGAGCTGCAGATCATGCACGACTGTCACTCCGAGTACATCATCTCCTTCTACGGCGCGTTCCTCTCCGACCCCAACATCTGCATCTGCATGGAGTTCATGGACAAGGGTTCGCTTGACGGCATATACAAACAAATTGGCGCCATCGACGTCGAGGTGGTCGCCAAGGTCGCTCTCGCCGTGCTCGAGGGCCTCACGTACCTGTACGATGTGCACCGTATCATCCATCGTGGTCCGTTTCTCGACATTTCTCAGGATCATCTAAAGCTCATATCCATCGCGTATAGATATCAAGCCGTCGAATATACTGTTCAACTCGAAAGGTCAGATCAAGATCTGTGACTTTGGTGTGTCTGGCGAGCTCATCAACTCGATCGCGGACACATTCGTGGGGACATCGACGTACATGAGTGTGCGTCCTCTAGCCTCTCCTCACGCTCGATTGTCTACCCGTTTTTTGCTGACGTTGGCTATTTATGGCGCGCAGCCGGAGCGGATACAGGGCGCGCAGTACACCGTCAAGTCGGACGTGTGGTCGCTCGGGATCTCACTGATCGAGCTCGCGCTCGGGCGATTCCCGTTCTCCGACTCGTCCTCGGATGACGATTCTGACCTGTCCGACTTTGAAGGCACGCTCTCACCCTCACGGCCCATGTCGCTCGGGCTGCCCCCGCCGCGCGGCAAGTCCAAGCCGATGCGCAAGGGGCTCGACAGCAAAGAGGCAAAGCGGAACAAGCGGAAGAGCAAGGGCGTGAGCTTGCAGGGCGGCGGGATGACGATGAGCATCCTCGAGCTGCTGCAGCACATCGTCAATGAGCCGGCGCCGAAGCTGACCCCCGAGGGCCGCTTCCCGAAGGTGGCGGAGGCGTTCGTCGACGGGTGTCTGTTGAAGGACCCGGACATGCGGCAGACGCCGAAGGATCTGCTGGTGCGTACCTCTCTTCCTCGCCCCGCGCTTCTGCAGCACCTCGCTGTCGGTGGCGCTGTGGAACGGGCTTTTTTCAAATACTTTCGCGCCTTGTTGATCATTCGCGTTCTCATTCGTCTCTTCTTTGGCAGCAACATGAGTGGATAGTGAGCGCCAAGATGTCGACATTCGACCTCGAAGCGTGGGCGAGCACGTTTTGAGCCGTGTTGACTGCCTCCAGTCTGACCAAGCCCCCTACAACCCAAGGGGAGTTCGATCGTCGCTTCTGATACCCTCTGCCTCAGGCGCGCGGGCGCTCGCGCACGGACATATCTCCATCACCTCATGCACAAGTCATTTCCACGCACATACACATCTAAAACTGTTGACAGTGAGCCCCTGCCCTGCCCCGCCATCTTTTACTATCCCACCTTCCCACCTGTGTGCCGTCTTAGGCCTCGACCTGCTCCGACCCGACCCGACCTCCCTCGACTGGTTGTTCTGTCTCGATTTTTGGTTGTCTCTGCCGTGCGCCTCGGGCTGGGCTGGGGGCGAAATGATATGAAAGCGCGATGTATGTATTGTTATAGAAAGAATGCATGATGATGATGATGATGATGATGACGGCGACGACTACAAAGATAACGAACGAATTTCTGATGATCACGGGTGTTCGCTGCGAGGCGTGCTGTTGTTCGGTGTCTGTGATGTTCTGCTCTTCCAATCTGAAGTCGGTGGATCGTTGGGAATGTTCAGTCTATTTTTGAGGACCAGGCAAGTGGGTTGGCTTCCGCTCTGGGGTGCCGTCGATCGTTCATGCTTGGATGCTTCACAGCGCTGCTGCACCGTGCCTAGTGTCTATCTGGGCGGCGGATGGGTTGGAATGCCTGAATGGAAGAAGCCAGGAACGGCGCCAGTTTAGCGCCTCTCAGAAGCGGAAGCGGGTCCTGTGATAGGACGGGGCGGCACGTGGTGTGACGGGTGATGCGATGGCCCAATGCAGGCTTGAGAACGTTCCATCCGGCGCGTCGAAGGTGAGCGTGTTTGTTCCCCACGGCCGAAGATCGCAGTGCTCCTGCATTCAACGGACACCTCTCGTCGTGTGTGCTCGGCTGCTGATGTTACCGTCCAGCCCGTGCGAAGGGTATATATATCATTCCATGCTGCGATGTCTGCGCCCGATCGCCCCCCATCACACGCACCAGTGCATAGCTCGTCTGGCAGCACCGTCGACACGTCCCCATCCCCATCATAATTCACCGTCGTATCGCCATCATCCACCCCAGTGCCGCCCACGGCGGTCTCCATCGCTCAGGAACCTTTCCCCCCCTCTCTCTCGCTAGCAAGCAACCTGGTCACACTCAGCCCCCCTGCGTCCGGGGCGAGCAAACTGCCATTCCTGATCGAAACACCGACGCGACAGTGCGTGCGTGCGTCCGAGATTGGAAGCCCGAGACCTCCCTCGCAGCTTTCCAGTGCCAGCCCGGATCCTTGCATCCCCGTGCGCTCGATTTCTCGCCAGCCTATAAATGGCGGGCATCTCTGCGGTCGCCGGTCCATCGACCAGTCCCCCCGCTTTCCCTGATCCCTTCTTGACTCTACCGCTAACGCCCCTCGTGATGAGACCACCGCGCACCCTCGTGCTCTGCTTCGACGGCACATCCAACGAGTACGACGCCAATGTCCGTACGGCCACGCGTATCCTATTCCAGGAAGGGGCACTGATGCGGCGTGTGTGACTGCGCGCAGAACACGAACGTCGTCAAGCTATTCTCGCTGCTCAAGAAAGACAACATCGACCAGCAGATGTGCTATTACCAGGTGCGCCCGCGCGCCGCGTCTCGGCAGGCAGCGCGTCGCCGCTCACGGAGCAACGTGCGTTTTTCGGTGCGCATACATCCAGGCCGGTGTGGGCACGTACTTCCAGCCGGGCGTCGTCTCGCCCCTCTTCCAATGGGGCGCAAAGATCCTGGACGAGGCCGTCGCCTGGTACCTCCCGGCCCACGTCATGGACGGGTACAAGTTCCTCATGCAGAACTGGAACACCGGGGACAAAGTCTGCTTGTTCGGTAACCTCCAAGTTCCGTCCCTATCTCCCCGCTACCTTCCTCTGACGAACGTGCTCTCCTTTGGGTCTGATCAGGCTTCTCTCGTGGCGCATACACCGCCCGTGCGCTTGCTGGGATGCTCTACAAGGTACGTACATCCCATAGACGCGGATCTTGAGTCTATTTTGGGAATGGCAGGTGAACTGGTGCTGAACGGCCGCGCGCACACACACACAGGTGGGCCTCCTTCCGAGGGACAATGAAGAGCAGGTCCCGTTCGCGTACAGGCTCTACGCGTCGAGCAAGTCGACCGACCTGACTCTCGCTGCGGGCTTCAAGACCACGTTCTGCCGCGACGTGCCGATCGAGTTCGTGGGCGTCTGGTGGGGATATTGTTCTTCCGTAGTGTGCGCAATAATTTTGGAAACTGAATTGAGATTGACGCTGCAGGGACACCGTGGCGAGCGTCGGGATAGTCATGACGAAGAGTCTACCTTTTGTCTCGACCAACAACGCGATCCGGACGTTCAGGCACGCGCTCTCTCTCGATGAGGTTCGTTCGTTCAGTATCATCTATTTCTGTAGACTTGTTCTATCTGACTGACATCCCCGTGCGCGCCCTCTAGCACCGCGCCAAGTTCCGTCCGAATCTATATCACCGTCCCGAGATGACGCCGAGCGGCCTCGCCACGGTCGACTCGTCGCAGCACCCTACGCTCTCCGCTCTCAGGATGAAAATCCGCCGGAGCTGGCAGGAGAAGAACCGCAAGTTCGAGGAGGCGATGGGGTACGGTGACGGTCACGATGTCGATACTGGATCGAACGGGAGCGGCACGCGCTCGCCCGGGTGGACGACGGATGTATGCGAGGTGTGGTTCAGCGGATGTCATAGCGGTGCGTGATGGCGCTCGTTTCGCCCTTTTCCTTGGAGATGCGTCCGTGGGGAGGCTTGCTTATTATTGGTCCCTCGTGGCTGTTGTGTTTTCGGATACTAGATGTGGGCGGCGGTGCGGTGACTGATGCGACGGAGTACGCGCTGGCGGATATCCCCCTGCGGTGGATGGTCCGCGAGGTGATGCTCGCGCAGTGCGGGATCACGTTTGAAGAGGCCGCACTGACGCGCTGGAACATCCCGCTGACGGCCACGGAAGCGTTCAAGAAGCAGACGTCGAAGCCGTCGTCGCCCGCCCCGGGCGCGGCCTCACCTGTGAGCGCGAACGGGAAAGACAGCGTCGAGAACGGCAGCAACGGCGGCAACGGGCAGAACGGCAAGGGCATGAAGAGGGCGGACTCTGTCAGCAGCTGGGTGGCCACGAGGGAGCTCGCGGACGCCGTGCAGCCGATGGACGACGAGCTGAAGAAGCAGCCCTTGTGGTGGATCCTCGAGATACTGCCCACGAAATACTCGTATCAGGACGTGGCTGGCAAATGGATCACCTTCTGGAGGTGGGTGCGGTTTCTGGCCCGTCTCCATGCACCGTCGGCTGACCGGCTTCGTATGTGCTCTTTTGGTTTTGTCGTACAGCATCCATCTTGGCCGCGGCCGATACACGCCCCCGCAGCCCAAGTTCCACGAGAGCGTGAAGGTGCGCATGGAGGACGTTGCGCTGAAGTATGCGCCGCGCGCGATATACGACAAAGGCACCGAGACGTACGTGCGATGACGATACAGGTCTTCGGACAGCTGTCGGGTTTCGATCGTGGATAGGACAGTGGACTAGATTCCTGTTGCTGTGTGTTTTTTTGACTCGCTCGACCGATTTTATGAGTGCTGGATACTACGGGCGTTATATGACGAATACCTATGATTTCTTGGTCTATATGTGTTCATGGATCGTATTGTTGGTTCTTGAATCGAGTCACTTGTTGCAGATGTAATAGCTAAAGGATTTCGGATATCGGACCCAAGCTTTACACCCATAACCCTAACCCATGTTCGGGCAATATGATGTTGTGGCGAGTTGCGTTGGCCAAGTCACTGACTTGCTTGTAAAGCTACACTGTCACCCCGCGTATTGGAGCCTCACATACCGACTATCTCCTGTGTAAGGTCGCTCACTTGGATTTCGCAGCGTTCAATTAGTACTGTCTCATCCGTCCGCCATGCCACCACGACGCTCCGCCTCTCCCAGCCTACCTGAAGACAGACAAGCCTCTGGCAGCCGAGGCTACCGAGGACGCAGGAACGACGACCGAGAATATAGCAGAGATCACAGAGATAAAGAGTCCAGGCCATATGGGCGCGCTGATAGAGACAGAGGCAGAGGCAGGGGCGCGGAGGCGGAGAGCTTCAGGGAGAGGCGGGGCGGAGACAGGTATCGCGACCACCGGGACCGCGACGACGACAACGGACGTGGCCATTATTCTCGAAGCAGAGACGACCGCCCATCGGAGAGGCGCGCGCGCGAGGGCTCGAGTGAACGGAACGGGCGCGGCGGTCCCTCGACGCACCGACGATCTGCCTCCCCACGGCCCTCGCGTCCGCACTCGTCGCGCCCGCGCTCGCGGTCCCATTCGCGCTCGGCGGTGCCAGAAGACAAAGAAAAGGAAAAGGAAAAGGACAAGGCGAAGCCGAACTTTGGCGCGTCAGGGCTGCTGGCCGCTGCCACGAACACTGTCAAGAAAACGGACGGTACCTCGACGTTGTTGAAGTACAACGAGCCGCCGGAGGCGCGGAGGCCCGTTGTCGGATGGAGGCTGTATGTGTTCAAGGGAAGCGAACAAGTCGGTGCGTTCTGGCTCCGATGCCCCCCCCCCCGCTGTCAGTTTGCTAATCCCAGCTCCGGCGGCGGAAATGATCGAATATCGCGCGATTGGGATGTACAGACCTCCTCCATATACACCGACAGAGTGCGTACCTCATTGGAAGAGACAAGGCGGTGGCGGACATCACGATCGACCACCCTTCTTGCTCGAAACAGCACGCCGTGATACAGTGTAAGCCCTTCCCCCCCTCGCGTCCCCCCTTCGGCCCGCTCATGCGAACGTTGCGTGAAGTCCGGTATGTGCAATCAAAGGACGAATTCGGCGTTTCAAAGGGAGTCGTAAAGTGCGCGGTGTCCTGTTCCGCTTCCCGCACGCACCTGTGCTGATGGCTCGTTCTAAGGCCTTTCGTCATCGACCTCGAGTCCACGAACGGAACGCATGTCAACGATGAAACGATACCGACCACTAGGTTCTACGAGCTCCAAGCGAGCGACGGTGCGCCCTTTCTCTCCGAGCCGTGCTGGACACCTGATGCTCACTTCCGCTTTGTTCTGCGCGGATGTCGACATTGCAGTGCTGAAGTTCGGGCAATCTACCCGAGAATACGTCCTTCTGCATGATGAGGCCGCGTGAAATCGGCCTTCATCGTCCAATTAGACTCGACGCCGCGTTATATGTCGATACCGCCGATTTGGTCCCATCTTGATGCCATCGTACCGCCTCCAGGCAGGATCCGTGAGCGACAGTCGTGAAGGAGCGTGAAGGGCGCGTGCAGGGACCGCTTTTGTCCGCCTAATATGGACAACGTCAACTGCAGCTCCGAAGCGCTTCTTGACAGGGCGGCCCCTCGTTTCTTTGCTTTGTAGTCGTATGACAGCTTAGCCGAACACGTTTGCACGCGACATCTGCGCGTGTGCTTCTCGTCGTGCTTTGTGCGCCAGCCTATGCTTTGTGCGCCTCGCTGTGCACGTCTTCTCTGAGGGAATATTCCACTAGAACATGCCTCGGAACAAGGCGGTGATCAGAGACAACGAACAGTTTGATAGCGATACAGATCCGAGGTATTACAGAGATAGACGTGTGGGTAGGTGCGTTGGATGGGGAGAGCAAATCGTAGGACAGAAAAAATATAGCGAAAGCCGTTATAGTCGGGAATACACGAGACGGGGTCAGTACCTGAGGTATCGGTACAAGCTAATAGAGCAATGCGAAGACGGGGGAAGGCTTGAAAAGAGAACAGAAGCAGAAATAACCTGTGGAGCGAGAGACTAAACGATCTATGCAAGTTGTGTACGAGAAAGGAGGCTCAAGGGGCACAGCCCCATCAGCAGTCCCAGTCCAACATCGCGTGAATATCACCTTTGCAAGTGATATTCGCGTTGTCCAGATGGCGCTTGAGCGCGTCGCGCCGGCTGAACCTTTTGCTGCACCCGCCGACGAACAGTCTCTCCGCCTCTCCATAAGCAATCGGAGTGCACTCCGACGAGACTCCATAGTCGTCCGCATGCTCCATGGGCACACCACGGCAGACCCACTGCCCCCCCTTGTGCGTCAGAATGTGACGCTTCAGGTCGGGCATGCGCCCGTTCGATTGTACCCAGCTGCAATGAGGGCACTTGAACGACGAACGTTTGGACGCGTCCGGGAAGATGGGAGTCGACGGGTCGACTTGGGCATTCCGCGGGCGGGCCTCGCGACGCGAGACCCGCGGATCGCGGGGAAGGGGAGCCGAGCGTGGGCGTTTGGAGGAGGAGTCTGGAGAGGAAGAGGAGGAACGCGAGACCGTGGACCGGCCGACGATGCGCTTGCGCGAGTTGAGACGGGGGGAGGGGATGTACTCTTCGTCCGAGGAACTACCCTTGCTTTCGTCCTCGTCGTCAGAGGGGACGTCGAGCTTGGGGGGGAGGCGAGACTTCTTGCGGGCCGAACGTGAGGAGCTGGTCTGGCCAGAGAATATTAAGGAGGTGGTATCGGGTTCTTCTGTCGGTAGCTGGGACAAATTCATTCCCGATCGAGGGCTGTATATCGAGGGCGAGTTAATAGATAGAAGGCAAGCGAGATAGGGCTTCCGACGTACGCATCCTCGAGCACGGAGATTGGATAGGCATGGCCACCCACCACACGGTACAGTTCTTCGTGCGTGTACCAGAAGGGATCCTCTTCCGCGTCGCTGTCGCTTTCCGAGTACTCGATGTCGGAATTGCCACCGTCCTCGTTCATAGTGGAGAGGGACGAAGGGGGGGAGTCGTCGTATGGCATGGTAAGCCGAAAGGGCTCGATAGTCTTCGGGGCCTCCTTCTCTTCATATTCAAACGTGAAATCATAGCCCTTGTGGTCTTGTACGAGCCAAGAGAACTCATGAAGATCATCTTCGGGGATGGGGGGATCGAGCACGGAGTGGTAAGAAGTGGAGGAAGCGGAGGAAGACATGTTGTAAGACTGCGGCACTGCTGGACGAGGAGAAGGCCATGTCTCCTCGTTTTTATACCCAAAGACATGCCCTTTCTCTCGCGATGGATGGTTGTGCGGACGGTGTCTCGGATGTGTCCGTGGCGATTTCAAAGCCCTCTGGCTTTTGTTCCCTTAGGCACGGGTGGCGAAAGGAGGATATAAACGGAAAATCGGGGGAAATTGTCGACGAGACAAAGAAACAAGCTCGGACCAGCTCGAGGACACGGCATGCTTGGGTCTTCCGAGCTCCCGACTGGGCCGATGATGCAGCTCGTATGCGTGTCGCGAAGGACACAACGCTCCCCACCATGCTCAAGAATGAGTCGGCCCCAGCCTTGGAGGAGTTTGAGTTTCTGTAGTAGTTTGCTATCCTCAAGGTCATCCCGAGGCAGCCAGCACCCAAAAGTCGCCCAAATCGGGAAGCGTGACTGGATACCAAACTTGTCCAAATGGGGTAAGGCACGATATACAAAGCATCGACTACCCCCCCACATGGGAAAATTATATCGAAGGAGCGGGGCATCTAACTCCTCAAGCACTCACCTCATGTATCTATTGCGGCGCGATCGTTTACTGATTCGAACGAGGCGGAAAGGCACTCAATGAGGCGGAAAGTGCCGCGAGAAACTCAGTGAATGTACTTATTGCCAAAACATAGGAGCAAAGTTAGAGTCGGTGAAGCTCCAGTCACCTCGGTATGGGAAGGCAAGACGAGAAAGATGTGCCGTTATCCAACTCATGCAGGACAGCATTCGGTTCTCGGGCTCAGCACGCGACGTCATAGAGCATAAGGGATTTCCGACGGGGAGTTGGAGGTCTTCTAGTAGCGATGATGGTGATCCACGAACAAAGAGAATTAGGTGCCTCGGCGCTCGACCCTGATGGTGCTGATGGCGAGAGGGCCATGAGCGAGATCGGTATGCTTCCCTCGCGATTGCAATTCTGTGCACGATGAACGGCGAGTTGGGCGGACAAGGAAACGTGGCGTGTCTGGGGTACTCATGGTGGCCAACTGTGTGGCACGATCGGTCCTGGAGTCCTCGATTTGTAATTGGACGATCTCCGATTGCAGGTAGACGTATTCCTCAGAAGCTCTTGAGCGTTCGAACCATCACGACCTTTCGGCGACTGAATCTACAAAGGAACAGGACACGGCGTTGTCTTTGACCAAGCCAAACGTCTGTCCTCGTTGGAAAACATCTTGATTATCAGCTCCACAATGGAAAGGAGGCGCGGCCATTCGAAACGGCCAGCAACTAACGAAGGTAGGACAGATTCCGACTCATTGGATGCTACTCAGACATCCCTGGAAAATGTAATCCTGATCTTTTCTACCTTGTCTTACAGAACTTGAGTGCTGGTCTCACGCTGCAAAGTCACTGTCTGTGCTGTCCAATCTATGTATGGCCTCGTCTGCGCAGGATGCTGTTGGGAGGGTCAATCGACTTATCCTCGCATGGCCAAATGACGAGACGCTGCCTGCCGAAGGCATGGATAGCGTCAAGACAGTCTATAAGAAGCTGTCTTCTGGTCTTAGTGAAATCAAAACAAATTCAGAACGCGAAATCAAGTAGGTGTTCAAATCTACAGATGCCATTTGGAGGGTCGTTTGGAAGGTCTTGATACTTCTTAATAGGGCTATGGATGACGCTGTAGAGCAGATCGGCGTCTTGATTGCTCTGCGAAAGGCGTCAGAATCTACACCCCCAGGTGAAAACCTCTCTTGATTGAATCATCAATATCACGGCGCTCAAATATATTTTCTATTCAATGCTATAGAAAAGAGATACAAGCGCCCTCGCATCCATTCTCCGCCACCGACATCAACGCCACCAACACCAGCGATAGCATCAAGTACTCGTGGAGCGTCCATCCCTGTACAAACGCGAGGATCCGTGGGCCCTCAATCTACCATTCCCTTCTCTCGTGAGCCTAAAGCCCGGAGAGAAGCTTTGAATGCACAATTGCCATTGCAAGTTGGCAGGGTCGTCGCCTTCCACCCACCCGCAAAAAATGACGTCGCGAATGGTGACTCCGACGACACTACGTGGATCCTCGCGAGAGTCACGAGGTGCATCAATCAAGATAAGAATAGGTTTGCGCTATTGCCATCTTCGCGCTATAGCTTCAAATGCTGATGTTTGAAGCAGATACGAAGTTCAAGATATTGAGCCACAGGACGATGGACAACCCGGACAGTGCGTACATGAGAGCATGCTACACGTGGCACTGGAGTTTTGTTTGACCGTTTCTACAAGGTGCTACAACACAACTCTCCGAGCCATCATACCTCTCCCCGATCTCGAAGCTTCACCAAGTAATGCGGCACACCTCAATGCATATCGAGAATTCCCGGTCGGGTCAACGGTGATGGCCCTGTATCCGGACACAAGCTGTTTCTACAGGGCAGAAGTCATCGGGGCACGCGTGAGTCAATTATGTTTCATGCTTTCTCGTTCACTTCTCGTGGTTCACATATTCATGTTTGGCTCAGTTTCAGGCCAAAGGTGAAATCCCGGCATATAAACTCAAATTTGAAGACGACGATGACTTGGAACAGACAGTACATGCGCAGTATGTTGTTGAGTGGCCTGGAGCATGATCCTTTTTTGAATTTTGGTCCATGTTCGAGTTTTGTGGTTCTTGTTTTCCTGCTTTTGCTCTGCATCTATGGCATGATGGCGATACTTATTCTAGAACATGAGTTGAATATCGACAGTCGGTATCTTGGACAGTCTTGTATGATAAATGTAGAGTCTTGTCTTTTGTATGTTGGTCATCATCGTACTGTACGAGTTACTGTACGCTACGGAAGAGTTCCATCCTGGCGTGAGGTTCGAAGGTGGAGTGCTATTGGCTCGGAGCCTATTCAATTACAACGTGAATTGCCTTTCATGAATTCATCCCACGAAAGCACCGACGTCGTTCCATTCCATACTATCCACTCTGCGCAGTGTCACTCCTAGCCAGAGCCCGAAAATGCTCGAAGCTACCCCCGCGCCGTCCATCTTCACCCAAACGTCCCTATTTTCCCTTCTTGGCGTAGCCTCTCTCGGCCTGATTGCATACACGGCCTCGCGTACGTTTTTGCCCAAGACAATTCGATGGCAAGATCGGTTTGCATTCATCTGGCTTGTACGTGCTCTACATGCAATTGGCATGCGACGCCTCGCGACACGTTGTATATCGTCACGTTACAACACTAATGCAGAACCACAGATCTTTGATGCGCTCATTCACTTCATTTTCGAAGGAAGTTTCTTATGGCTTTCGATGTTCGGAAGGCAGGTGAACACCAGCACTGGGATGTTTGCTGAAATGTGTAAGTTCCTCGCAGTGTCTCCTTCCCATGCCTCTTCACCTCTCTATGACCCGTCCTTGATGCGGTACTGGTATAGGGAGAGAATATGCTGCGGCCGACTTCCGATGGGGTTTCTCGGACGAAACTGTGGTGTCCCTCGAGATTCTTACTGTCCTTGGTGCGGGCCCGCTTGCCTGTTATATTGTATACCAGATCGCCAGGCAAGACCCGGCCAGGCATTATTGGATAGTTGTGTTGAGTACCGCAGAGTTGTATGGCGGGTGAGTGTTCTCCGCCATGTTCTTGCGATGGGTCGCCTGATATCTTGAATGCTTACCTAGGTGGATGACGTTTTGCCCAGAATGGCTTACCGGCAGCCCGAACTTGGATACATCAAATCCTCTCTTCCTATGGGTATACCTTGTTGTATGTATCAAACTTGCGCATACTGCAACACTTTCATGCTTTGACTGATACCTTCTGTCCATCATAGTTTATGAACACGATGTCAGTTAAAATCTTGTTTGTTGTTTGTTACCCTCCTATTGACGCACTTCTTTTCTAGTTGGGTGGTCATCCCGTTCTGGTTGCTGCACGATTCGTATCGCCACATTGCTGACACGTTAAGATCGGCACAACCCAACTCTAAGAAGACTCTTTGAACCTGCAATAATATATCTTGATTTTGGACTACAGTCATATTCCTCAACCGAGTCTTTATCTCAGCGTGCACAGAAAGGCTGCTTTTACACCACAATCCAAGAGTTCGAACTGGCGGACGGTGGTCAGCGAGTCAAGCCTTTCCGAGCCGAGGATTTCGAATCTGAATTTCTGACGCTTATTGGACAATAGTGCCTACTGATAACCAGTTCTAATTCAGTCGAATTTAGCTCACACAATATTGTGGGTATCAAGAAAGCCGATGGGCATAGTGGCACAATGCAGTACAGTAAGTGCTATTGCGTATGCATGGGCGAGGGTAGTACTGAAAGTAAGCAAGCTGCACACAAAGTAGTGCGTCAAAGTCCGTGAGGAGTCACTAGTCAATGTCCGTCAGAGTGAAGGATTCAAGATTTGGAATCCTTTGCCCTCAACAGTTCGTCATATGGTATCGTCCCCTGAGCCCGCGCACTCAAGCTTTAAAGATGGTGAACTGGGGAGAAGTATTGCCAGAATCACCGAACACTGGTGCCAACATTAGCTGACGCTCTATGTACGACACCCAGATATGAACATCACTTACAAACTACAACATAGTCGGTCCGGGTGTCCACCACGGGGACCGTGAAGGTGACATTTCCTCCGCTGAGGGGGAAGTTCACAGCGAGAGGCGTGTCTGCAATACTCACAACTCAGTCACGGAAGAAGCGAATGATACAAAACACATACTGATGTCCAGATTTTCACTCCCGTTTTCCAAGTAACCGAGGAGGAGCATTCCAGGAGAATCCTGCTTCTCATCGGGGATATCGGAGGTATCCCATGTGACGGTTTGGTTTGAACCCGTCGTCCAAATCTGGCCTGCGGTGGGGGCTGTGACGTGGGGACTGTAGACGATGAGGGTTGCTGGACCCTTAGGACCAGAGGAAGCAAGGTTGGCGACCTTTACAATGGGAGTCGCGGTGACGGCCGAGGCGGTGAGGACGATGGCTGAAACGAAGGTGGTGAAGAACTTCATGGCTACGGTCGGATGATCTCGGGTGAAGTGAGGGTATCGAGGATGGCGGATGGGAGTGAGGAAGGAGGGGGAAAGAAGGAGGAGAATAAGAAAATGAACGGCGGACGTTCACACTTATATAGGTTGGCACGGAGAATGAATGGAGCAGGTTAGAAAGGGTGGCAACCGGGGACAATCAAGCATGACACGAACATGATATCAGAATGCTCGCCTATTCGGGGGACTGCGGTGACGCCATCCAAGGAGGATCACAATGTACGAACCCTCGAACCGCGATTCCACCAGATCCGCCAACGGTGGCCGTTTGTGAGCCTTTGAAGCACTTCCTGGTGTGCAAGGCTTCAGGCTTTCAGAGCCTCGCAACTGAGGCACCATGCGCTTCTGAGGTCTCTCTACAGCGTAGCCAAAATTGGCCCTTAGTCGCTTCAGCCACGCGAGAGTGGAGTTGGCGCCAATTAGAAGCACCCTGCTAGTCTGCGATCCGTCCTCCCATTTAGGCAAGTCTAGTGTTTGCGACGCTTAGCCGATATGATATTCTCTGCCAGCGGAGAATTGGGTTTAATTAATTTACGAGATGTTTAGAGCTGTAGATTCAGGCAGATCTATCCAATATTTTTGGAGTTGGCAGAGGTTGGCAGGTGGTACTGCATGGGCATGTATCCATGTCATCACTACCAAGTAGAAAATGTCTACTAAACTCAAGAATTGTCCTTAAAAGCTGCATGCATCAATGTACTAGCATGCAATGTATAGATAGATTTGATAAGTGTTTGGTTGAGAATATAAGACACCTGATCAAAGATGCCTATACAGTATAATACAGTGATCCAGTATCCATGCACAATGGAATACAACCACAACCAATATACATTATGTAAAAAAAAAGACCTTATTAAAAGTTCTTGAACTGAATTACATCTGGAAAACCACCCCCTTGTATTAGCTCTGGATTATATCTAATAGTGTCTAAAAGTATCTAAAAGTGTTAATAGCATCTAAAAGTGTTTAATTTCCTAATTAGGAGCAATATATTGTGAGCATTGGATTAGTTTCTAATTTCATGATATTAGCACTAATTTTATACCAAGAAGTCTTTAATTAGCAGTAGGAAATAGTAAGTACTACTGCTCTATCAGTGAGAAGGTAAAGATGTGGCACATTCTATACTGTTTCAGCACATTACTCTCTATTATATATACCTATGCCATTATCTTGTAGCTCTTTTGCTGACTTTCTAGTTGCCTTTACAAGGGACATAGAAAGAGAGAAATGTGCATTAATGCCCCCAGCCACTTTGTTGGCAGCTTGGCAGCTGCCACAAGAGGCTGTGAAGACCTTGGTACCTTAGCCTTGCATACAAAATTATTGAAGTTGTTATTGTCAGCCAATGCCTGCTACTGGTCATTACAAGACACAACATACAGGTTGGGCTTAGGGATGTGCTACATGCAGCCTTGTAGACCTTGTCTATTAGTGTAGTGGTCAATACTGTCTTATGTAGCACACAATTATCATTACCATTGATATTACAATTTTCAGCACCATCCACATTGTTTATTGCCTTATTATACAGAAGATGCTCAAACTTGGTATTTTTCTCTAGCTATTGGGCTATGGAAAAGACTGCCATGTAGGAAATATGTGCACCAAGCATATTAAGATTATCTCTAACAATCTTGTGCTTATATATACATAGGCATGCTATACATATACCCTTGTTCCCATCCTCTACCTCACTAGTGGCCATTTGGAAAAACCCTCTTTCTTATTGGATCTAAATTATTGATAATTATTGATAATCATGTTTTTGATCAAATTTGCAAATTAAGGTAGCATTGTCTATACTAGTAGAGTCCCATTGAATATTACACTTAATCATAGTTTTACACATTCTAAATCCAAATTGTGTACGTGCCATAATTTGTTTTTACCCTATATAAAGTGTATTATTTAATTTCCATTGGTTTATTATCTTCTTAGCTAGTGTTTAAACTAAATCCTAAAAGGCCTGACTTTTTGGGTATTTATTGACTCATCTATTTATTAGATAGAGGAAAGATAGATGTTGAATAAAATCAGAGATGTTGAGATTGCCTATATTATGTCTACTTATTTAGATTACTAAGCTAATATATTAGACCTTGTGGCTTAGTGGCTTAGAGCATTTGTTCTAGGTGCTTGTATATATGAGGTTGTTGGTTCAACTTTGGCAAAAGACAAGTTTGTTATAAGGTATATTCTGTGTTTAGGTATTCAACTAGTGCTCTAGTAAAAATGACTCTATGAGAAGTTTATGAGAACTATGATGCTTGATTTATTACTTTTTTTCCGAAATCTCAAGTTATAATCAATCCTAATAATTCCTAATTTAGGAAAATTATATCTAATTAGAACAGGTTTGGGGGGGGGGGGGGGGTAAGCAAATAATCTCTAATCCTAATCATTCTTCATTATGCATAAATAGAACTAAGTAGAGTGTAATATAAGAGAGTGATTTTCCAGATGCTATAGAACAGAAATTTCTTTGGCACATTATTTAATCATGAAGGTAGGGCTTGTATTTCCCAAGTTGCCCAATACTAAGGTCAAAATGCCATCAAAAGAGTTTTATGCAAGAAAAAAAATCACTTACAAACTACAATATAATTGCTAGCTAGGAGAATGTTAGGGACAATAATCTTGGCACTGCTGTCCCTTAGATCAAATCCTTGAGCAAGAGAGTGTTCTATGATTGGAATGTAAGATGATAAGCTTAGACCAGCATATACAAAGTATATAACTTGCTAATGTCCAAATTTTTGCTGTTGTAAGATAGGTGTCTAAGATATATTATTCCTCCATAGTTAGTAACCTGCTTAAGAGGGTTAGAAGTGTCTCTATGAGTGGATCACATCACCAATGTATGAGATGAACTAAACCAGATGCACATACGATTTGATAGTGTAGTTGGAGCCACTGACTAAGACATCACTAGCTATAAGGCTGATAAGCTTTGGAGCTTAGACATCCTGCTTGGAGTTTAAACTAGATATGGTAAAGGTGGTAGGGCACAAGAAGAGAATAATGCTAGTAGTGACCATGGAGCTCAATGGCAGGATAAAAGATGAGAACATCATGATCTGAGTCCAGTGAGATATAGGGAAAGACAGAAGATTTGAGACCAATGGAGGTAAGTCATTGAGCAAGAAAAGAAGCTCCAAGTCTGTGACAACAAAGTGAGATGGATGAAGGGGACAAAGGTTTCCAATCTAGAGAGAAAAGCTTTTATAGCTAGGAGTGCAATTCAGACTGCTAGGTGAACATCTCAGTAGTGACACTATTCTACCCTACAGTGTAATCATGACCAAACCCTAACAGGTTTCATATAGATCCAGACTACAGCGTACAGCTGTATCCACTCAAAAAAAACCACATTCTCTTTAATCAGATCTTATTGCAAGATAAGCAAGAATGAACTGGCTAAGACTCAGAGAAAGTGATTAGACATAGCAGGCAAGATGGAATGGCGGTAGCATGGTGAGACAGCCACTTTAAGGTCAGCAGCAGAAGCAGGGACTAATGAACAGGCCTGATAGTTTAAAATTGAGATACTCAGAACTTACTGAGATTGTGGAGGAGTGGGCATTTCTGCTACTCACTTATTGGTCTAGAATTAAGGCCTTGAGGTTGATTGCATGTGTTTATATTTGGCTTGTTCTAGTCCTATAGAATTGAGTTGATCGCAACCCAAATGGGGAAAAGAAGGGTGAGTGACTTGAGCAAGGCATATAAATAATATGCATCAAGCCACACATTGTTCTTATTCTTGGACACAACACAAATGAAACTGTATCATGGGTTCCAAACTTCTACATTTCAAAGTTGTTAATGACAACCTTCTGTTGTCAGGCACTTTCTCTACTATTCTAAGGGTGTGGTGGAACTTAGAGGGTTAGAGATGAAACTAGCTTGAAGCTGGGGATATCATCTAGAAAAACACCCCCTTGTATTAGCTCCAGATTATATCTAATAGTGTCTAAAAATATCTAAAAGTGTTAATAACATCTAAAAGTGTCTAATTTCCTAATTAGGAGCAACACATTGTGAGCATTGGATTGGTTTCTAATTTTATGATATTAGCACTAATTCTATACTAAGAAGTCTTTAATTATAAGTAGGAAATAGTAAGTACTACTATCAGTGAGAAGATAAAGATGTGGCACATTCTATACTATTTTAGCACATTACTCTCCTTCATATATGCCTATACCATTATCTTGTAGCTCTTTTGCTGACTTTCCAGCTGCTTTTATAAAGGATATAGAAAGAGAGAAATGTGCATTGATGCCCCCAGCCACTTTGTTAGCAGCTTGGCAGCTGCCACAAGAGGCTATGAAGACCTTAGTACCTTGTCCTTGCACATAAGATCATGAAAGTTGTCATTGTTAGCCAATGCCTGCTACTAGTCATTATAGGACACAATATGTGGGTTGGGCTTAGGGATATGCTATATGCAGCCTTATAGACCTTGTCTATTAGTATAGTGGCTAATACTGTCTTGTGCAGCACACAATCATCATCACTATTGATATTACAATTTTTAGCACTATTTATATTGTTTATTGCCTTGTTATACAGAAGATGCTCAAACTTGGTGTTTTCCTCTAGCTATTGGGCTGTGGAAAAGACAGTCATATTGGTATGTGGTGCCAGAATGATATATTTGCCTGCCATATAGGAGATATGTGCATTAAGCATATTAAGATCACCTCCAACAATCTTGTGCTTATTTATATATAGGCATGCCATACATATACTCTTGTCCCTACCCTCTACCTCACTAGTGGCTATTTGGAAAACCCCTCTCTCTTATTAGATCTTGATTATTCATAATCATGTTTTTGATCAAATTTGCAAATTCAGGTAGCATTGTCTATAATAGTAGAGTCCCATTGAATATTACACTCAATCATAGTTTTACACATTCTCAGTCCAAATTGTATAAGTGCCATAATTTGTTT